GGGGGGAAATTCGTTTCAAACGTGTCTTGTTCGTTTAATGAGAGATCGAAAATCAATCCCTCAAAGTGTGTCTGAACCCCGCCATTTTTGGCTCGTGTTCATTGACTCAAGTGGATTATTGTTCCATGTTTCAGGTACTTTTAACTTAACACGCATGGTCTTTTATGCTTAATAATTTACGATTACAGTTTTTTAAGTGGAGTTCGAGTGCGAAATTAGACTGGTTACCTTACAACGGTTTTTGTCTGGAGTAAAGATTTCCAGTGTATAAATTGCTTCCCATGTTCTTTTACAAAAGGCAAGTTGCAAAAAAAAAAAAAAGAAGAAGAAGAAACTTAGCGCCCGGCCGCCAGCGAGAACGATCGTTATAACAGACATGAAATATATGAAATATTATCACTGAAACAAGGTGCTACCAAACTAAAAGGGGGTTTCAAAGTTGACCACTAATACAGTACTACACGGCGGAATAATATTGGCTGGCCAAGCATATTTGAGAACATAGAAGTTCGCAAATACCGCACGCATTCACAGACTTCACTTGGCGTTTCCGGTCGCGAAGTGATTCCAGCGATAACCGAAGGTTGCCTAGCATTGGCGATGACATGCGAAAAAGGAAAATTTATAACCAAACGCTGCTTTTAAATTTATTTTAATTCAAACGCTAGTTCTTCTGGTTTCCTATTCCCCATTATCGGTGCCGGAGTTATAGCTCGAAAAGAGGTTAACACAGCAATTAAAATGATCCGTGTTTAATTGTGACAGTTCCTTCAAAACATCGCAGAGAGTTAAACCAGATCACCCAATGAGTGAGTTCCTAAACAAAATTAAGCGTTAATTCAAAATGCAAAATGAAAAACAATGTTAGGAACGAACCGATTTTTGTAAAAAATATATTATAGACTGCACGGTTCGTCTTAAGAGATACACCCTCTAGCAACCAACGACGGATTTGACGAGGCATTTCCGATTAAAATTCCCAAATGAAAAACTGGTTGGTATTGTTGTATCGAATTTCCGTGTAGTGGGTTAATGATTATTTTCGACTCGCTCGACCGAACATCAACTGTGGCAAATAGCAATTTATTTTCTTTACGATAAATATAAAACGGTCTCAGGAACAGATTAACTTAGAAGTTTTTCATCTTGTTGACTGGGAAGCAATCAACCGAGATCTGTCACTATTGTAGTGTGTTTTGTAATGTAAATCTTGGCCCAGACGAGACGCCATCGGATGAATCTTTCTTCAATATCGTCGATTATTGTCTGCGCACGCGTACTCGACCGAAGTCCCACTGCGAAAGCAAAATAGGACGGAGTGTTTTTTTGTCCGCAAAAGTTGGTCCGCTTTCGCGGAACAAGGCCTCAGAAGGTAAATATTGCTCTATAGTTCTCTTCTATACCTCTTGCTTCGTGTCATGTTTATATATTTTTTGCGTCAGGAACGAAGTTCGGTTGAAAATTATTGAAAGTGTTCTGTGCAGTTTGCAAAGATGGCTGGTTGGCTATGGCGTGTCACCCGAGAAGGCAACAGTTTAAGACAACGTGACGACACTGAATTCGCTTGCGAAACTTGGCGGTTTCAGCCGGCCAAAAAATCCGGAAACATGAACTCGGTTGTTACTCGAATATTTTGGTTGAAATTCTTGCGTAAATGACGCTTTGAGCTGGGCTTTTAAGGCCATCTTTTATATCCAGATTTAATCGCCTATTTTTGAGTTTAACTGAATTGGAAACGTGACGAAATGAACCTCGCAAATTCCATCATATTAAATGGCCCCAGACCATGTAAGCAATAACTTGTCTCTCATCTGTTTTGTCTTAAGTTCGAAGTAGCTAGCCGTTCTTATAAAGAAGGGTAGAGAGTTGTTTGGAAAGGCGTTGAAAAATATCGGCAGCAATCTACCAGTTTATGTATCGGCACTGACACGGTTCCGGCGCATGTATTGCTAAAATCGAAAATGAACGATTACATTAAATATGAAGGGAAACGTGAAAAATGAGGAGACCAGAACCAGCAGATTTAGAGTTCTAACTTAAAAACTAACAGGCATTCCTCTATTATCGAAATTCTGCAAAATGTAAACTTCGTTTAGCACGGCCCGTAACATGTAATCGGCTTCCAAATTCATGTGCGTTCAAGCCTATTTGCACATTGTATTGTATTTCCTGGCTGGCTACAGCGAGAACAAAAATTGCTTGTATTAGCCTCAAAGGAATAAAACGCGTTCAAAAAGTAAAGTCTTGTGAATGAACCTTTTGCTTGTTGAACTGTTTTTGCGTGTTTGACGACAAAAGATTGAATGTTTCGCCCCGGCAAATTGCGCTCGAGGTTTTAGTTGACGGCGTAAGTGGCACATTTTCAACGCGTGTTTTCGAAGTCTACGCTCGAATGAGCACGTAAGAACGCATAAATTTGCAAATCGCCGATGCGATTTCGGGTTAGCTGAAGCGCTTTCTCTCGCCATAAAGTAACAGTCACTTTTAAATTTCGTTTTCAAATGGTTTCTGTCTTTAAAGGCAATGTGGGTATCTTCGGCTGATGCTTCAGTGTTGTTAATGGAGATATGGGCTTCTTTTGAAGTAGACTGCTTGTGTTAATTAATATTCATGGAATTGTTTGCCTAATATTCATCGTTTATGGTTAGTGTTTCGTGCGGTGGGTCTTAAGTAATTTAACGTCGGTGTCCGCAGAGGAGAGAATTTTCAATATATTGTGCTTTATTATGGTTAGTATTCTTCGAAACGTCTTTACAGTGACCGAAAATTAAAAAATACAAATACTGTGCTGAAGAAAAAGGTGACCGTCAGAGTACTTTCACACTTTGATTGGGCATAAGCTGAAAGTGGATGCACAGAAATTGAAAGCCTTCCTTATGTTTTGTGAGATACATTTGTGCAGTTTATAAGTTATATACTGATTTATATATCAATTAATGTTAAGTTTTATTAAAATGTTTAAATTTATTTTGAGAACAGATGTCAAAATTTTTATTTCTTTCATGTATATTATGCAGATTAAATAGTTTCATTGTTTCTAAGCCAATGAGTCTGAAAGGTCTGTGATTTTCCAAAACTTCTGTTTTGTCTGTCAAATTTTGGAATGATAGAAGATTTTTTTTCTTTTTATACTGTTGTAATTTTATATCAAGAATTAACTCATTTTTGTTCAGTAGAGTTTTTATTGTATGGTGATGAATCAAACTGCCTAGGAGCACTCATTACTACAGGAAATTTATTCTTTCCCTCTGAACTTTTTGCAAGATTTATCCTTGCCTCTTCGTCTTTGGTATAAACTTTTAGACCATAATTAAAACAGATAAAGTTAAAAATACAACCATGACAGCTAAAAAAAATGCAACTCTCCAAAATATCTCAGCAACAGAATTTGAACAGTCATTATCATTACTCTACATGCTCTAGAGACACTGAAATGTTTTGTCAAGCCTGGTTTCTGTAGTTCTATTTTATACTTTCCTTTTTATTCTTAGTCTGATCTGTATGATGGTTGGTAACTCTGAAAGTATGTGATTCCTTATGATGAAGTAATAACATGGTTATTTTTGGCTTTAAAGATAACTTGCACAAATAACACTTCTTAAAAACTTAACAGTAGTGAAAGTCCCATCTAGGCTCTTTCTTAAGGCTGTGTCACAAAATGCATTGGAATTTAAAAAGTGGGAACGCACAGCTGCCACCAAATTGAGTGACACTCTAAAAGAACCGCTCAAAACATTAAAAGAAGGTTTAAATAACACAGCAAATCTAAAAGAAGGCGCGGGTGGACTAATTTGAAGAAGATTAAAATGGATTGCAATTGTGGTTTTTGTAAACATGTTGGTGGCCTAAATTACTAACAGTTTCTCAAAGTTTATTTTTGATGTCTGTAATGTTTGATAATAATATTATTAATGCTTGGGAGACACATTTCTTTGACTTGAGGCTGTGATTTTGTAATTTAATACAAGTAATTTTGTCACTAACATTAACTTCCTTTACAAATAAGGAAGTGTAAATGGCAATTAAGCAAAATGAACTAGACAGCCATGACAGTCACTTGGTTCTCTGTTGTGATGCTTTAGTTAAAGTTGTAGTCATGATACGTTTCCTTAGACAGCAGTGGTAAGTGGCCTGCAAGCTTAGCTTGCTGATGAGGAGACTTTCCCTAGCAATAAGATCTTTTTTCGTTTCCTTCAATAGTAGGGTGGATTCAATAGCGCCATTTCCATATAACCATTGCTTTTTGCCATTGGAATTTTTACTTTTTAAAGCTCGAACACAATGAAAATTTTGATTAGGTAAATATTAAGTCATAATATGCAAATGTGTTGCAAATGAATCCACTCGTGGATAAACCAAATTACTTTAACTTAAGTAGAAATGTTTAATTTTGGTCACTGGAATAGACCCATTGATGCTGATAGACTTCATAGAGTCGACCCATTGCTCAACATGTGTGTATGCTTTGCGATTGTCTTAAATGAGACCTGTCTTGTAGGTTGTATGTTCAAAATGTCCCTAGTCTGAATTTAAAAGCCCTTGATTGATGTGTGAGGAGGATGCCAAGTCCCTTTTTACTATTTTGTTTACTATTATTGTATTTGCACTTGTCTTCATTGCTGATGGAATTTAAATCAATCTGTGTGTCGTTCATTGCTGCTTTATCTGAGTGTGTTAAGGTGATGATGCTTGTTGGAATTTACCCCAAGAGAGCCTTAAATATTACTACTCACACATTTTCTCCAATCTGTCGGCAAGGTCTCCTACATATTTCCTTAAATTCTTTGAATCAAACAGTCAATGAAGTTGGCAGTTCGTTATCAAGTAATTAGATGTACTTGTAAATATATACAGTCAAACTCCCTTCATACATACACTAAGGGGCCATAAAAAGTGTCTGTATTGTAAGTGTCTGTACAGGGTGTCCATATTGAGCGGGTTAAAATTGAGAGAACATTGACTGTAGGTATTTTACCTGGCATTATATGGTTTCTAGGGTGATGGACAATGGCAATAATCAGGATGATGAGCAACAACCTCCTGCACCTGCTTCAGATCTGTCTGCAATAGACATGGATTTTGAGCAGCTCACTTCTGAACTACCTGCTGTAGGCAAAAACACATTGCAGTTTGATAATGCAGCTGTTGAGGAGGATGCTGAGTTGTCTCTCAGTATTGAAGATGATCCGGACACAGGGAATCCCACCAATGCAGATATGAAGATGGAATTAATGCCCGTGGAATCAGATGTAAGTTTCGCAAATAAAATATTGTGTGTCTTTTTTTAACCCAGTCCTGAGTGACCAAGATCAATTTTCTCGTAATGATATCCATACATTGTCAAGAGATAAGGTTATGAGAAGTAATAGAATGATCACCTAAGAGAAATGCCTTGATCATTTTTCAAATTCTCTCAACACACTCTTTGAGGAAATGTATGGAGTTTAGTTTGGAGAATTTGTATCTGGAAATTGGGGCTTAAAGGGTTAACTAATTAATAAGCCTCTGTTTAGTAGTGACTACCTGCAGGGACAGAACAAAAGTCACTAACTGGTGGCTTTCATAATAATTTTTAATTATTAATTGCCAAGGAGCAGCCTTGTGAAGACGCGAGGCTGCGACGCAGCAACCTAATAGATCAGAGCCGTGCGCAATAGTTCCAGGAGCAGAAAAAAATCTCGAATCAATGAAACATATAGTAATGTAAGGCAACGTTTATGATGTAATGCAGAACAGAGAATGCATTGTTTTTGAGCAAACTCGTGATACAAAATCCATGAGCCGTGTGCGTGTTTGTGAGTCCCGTGCTCATCCCCTCATCAACCAATCGTTGGGTGGATATTCATTTGCATCAAAATTTATTGTGTCTTGGAAGCAAAATAGTACGTAGTAAAGTTGGGATTTCAAATTCTTTACTCAGTGGAACTCTTTAGTTCACCATTTTCGTAAGACAAACGTAAAGCAAGGGGCACGCATACACCAACCCATGATCCGACTTCCCTGTGTGTGGTGGGAAAACTGCCGTGCTGGGGTCCTGTTGTGTGGAGCTGGTGCTTAAAGGAATGCTTTGCGCTACCCACCGCAATAAGACACAGGGGTTTTCTCTGTTCTTTGACCCGATGGTGGAACAACTGTCTATGGCTACCACTGCCTGCATGATATGGCTGTACGCATGCACATGCATGAGGTACTGGCCAGGACGTGGGTTGGTGTATGTGTGCTTCTTCTAGTTTAAGGAGTTGCACTCAAAGGAGTTGCCCCGGCAGTAAAGGGTCTTTGAGACACAAGTTTGCCCCATTCATTGACCTGATGATTATGCCATGATGATGAGCCCCAGTAAGGGCAAAACAGTTGTCCATGGCTGCCACTCACCGGATGATATGGCTGTATGCATGCATGAGGTACTGGCCAGGTGGTGGGTTGGTGTTTGTGTACCTCTTGCTATGACTATTTTCATGCTAATTTTCACTTATGCAATCAAATTAAGTTCATTCTGTTTTCATAAATTACTGTAATTCATTACATGTCTAAACAAATTGAACAGCACACGCATGCACTCTCTTTTTCTATAAGAATATATTTTATAAGAATATCAAGGCTGAAATTTGCAAAATTTTAGGAATATTTTAAGAATAAACCCCAGACTGAGATTTTGAAAAGGATATAATTTTGTGTGTTCAAAAACTTAAGTACCTTCAACTTAATTATTCCATTCTCCAAACGGCAAAACTTGCCAACAAAACAAAAAGACCTGCACTAACTATAATTGATCACCCCAATATATTTTAAAACGGAAATGCCATAAGCTATTGTCATTGAAGAATAATACAAGAATATTTTCAGCCTAAAATTGGCAGAAAAATAAGAATGTTCAGCCTCGGCTGGAGAAACAACTTTCTTATGAAAAAAAGAGTGTGGGTAAAATCTTTGCTTGTTGGCTCAAAGCAAGTAGCTATAGCTATATAGTTATGATATTATAAATTATTATGATTAGAGGTCCACCTGAAAACAGCATTAGATGTGGTATATATTTTTCATGATATTTAAGCAGAATAATGAATGAATAATTACATTTAATGTAATATTAAATAAATGATTCAGTCAGGCATTTAAATATTGATTTATTCATTAGCTTATATGTAGTTTTCTATTTACGTTGTATTTGTGCAATGTGCCTCATGCAATTTGCACTTACTGTTTAGTTGTGGTGTTTTTCAATTTTTTTAAATTGATTTTCAATCCTACAAGTTAAAGGTATTTGTGAAAATAGCCATGCTTTCCACAAAGAATTTATTTTTCATGAAAATACCGTAGGGTTTGCATCCAGAAACAGATGATGCTAGCTGCGAAGAACCAGATCCCACAAAGGAAGATACACTAGCACCAGAAGCCATGACAGAAACAGAACCAGCAAATTCAGATACTAAAGAATCCAAAGTTACAGAAACGGGTGTCTCTACTCCATCAGTTTCCTTTGATGACAAAGCTGAACAAAATTCGCAGGAAGAAGAAGAGGAAGAAGAGGAAAAGCCTGTGAAGTTTGGAAAAATTGTTGATCCTCATGTCTTGGGGTGCTGTGAATTCTGTGGTGGTCCTGTAAAGCGGCGGAGGTTTTGTTCTCCTCTCAAAAGATTCTGCTCCAAGGGTTGTTCTAGAAGTTCAAGGAAAGCTAAAGTAATGTTTCCTTTATAAATAGAAACTAAGTGTTAGCTTGTACATTTATACTTCAAAAGGCTTTGGCTTAGGATGTAGGCATGTAAAAGAGCCTGTTTACATGTTCTCAACATTTGTTCACGTATGTTTGGCTTAACCATTTAATGGCAAAACGTTTTTAACAAATTTTCCAACATTGTTAAATGTATTTATTGAGAAGTATTGAAAGCTTGTTAATGTGCAGTTTGTGAGAGCAGTCACACCTTTATTGGTTCTTGTTTCAACTGCCGAGAAAAGGCATCTGCTCTCATCACCAGATAGTTAATGTGTGAAAGCAAATTAATTTAATCCAGTAGCAACATTGCTTTAACTTTCTTTCCTTGAAAACCATAAAATTAAAATCCTTTATTGAAAGCCCCCCTCTTTGATAAGGCCCCCCTTTTCAGTGGAGGAAAGTTATGAAGCCCCCCCCTCCTCTTGTTAAAGCACTCCTCCTTATCCTTAAAATAGAATGTGTTAAATCATAACTTTGCTTGAACCAAAGATACCTTTTATTCCTTGCTGACTTCACAAGTTTAGTGATGTAGACAGCTTATGCATTTGTCATGGATAGGCTGGGCCTATAATAATAATTATTATTTATATATGTTATGTCAGAAAAAGGAGATTGAGGATATTATCAATGGACAGGAAGTGGATGAAGGGAACTCTTATACCTGCACAGTAACAGGTAAGTGCATGAGTCAAAAAAAAATCGTACATTCATAGAGAGAAAAAGTGTGATGTCATGTTACTTCTTGATCTTAACAATCTCTCATGACAGAGGCGGCCACTTGCTTTTTTGAACGATAGAAGTACCTGTTCCTTAGTAGTATACAGTGCAATCATGCACAGGAAAGTGTTGTTTCTTTTTTTTCTGGAATGTTTGCAGGACAATGGTTTGTTGGGATCCAGAAATTTTGCCACCATGCTAACATGACGTAACAACTTCTCCACTCTGTGTTATTATAAGTATAGCTAATAGCATGATTAATTTGTAGTGATGTTTGGCATAAAATACCATGAATGATATTTCAAAAGTAAAATTCAAGACAATTTTGAAATATCACGAGTGGTATTTGTGCCAAATATCACGTACAAATCGTGCTATTATTTGTTTATACTACTACCCGCAAAAGATTTGTAATTTTCACAGGTAGGTATTTCAAATTGACCTGAAATACCACTGCTCTAAGCCACTCACATTGCAGAAATGTCTCATGTAGTAGTATAACTAATGGTATCTCTAGTCACATTCATGGTGATAATATAAAAAAACCATTTTTGCACGTGTGGAATGATTAGTAATGATGTAGTGGAACATACGCCATTTTAAGGACATTCAGTTAGTAGACAATTATTATTTGGTTCTAATTTACATGCATGCAGATACCATTGTACCTGCATAATGCCATTATACTGTACTTCTTGTTGTTTGAAGCAGGCATGTTTTTGTTTAACTGTGGGGAGGTTTGAAAAAAAGCAATGGGTGCTTTCAAGCAATAAAATGTGCATGAATATCATATCTTCTATGAACACAGGGGGCAGTTTGTCATTTCAAGCATTAAAACGGGTGCTCGACTGGAGAAAAAATGATCAATGCAGGCAGTGGGTGGGAGCACTAAACAAAAAACAGTAATGATAATGAAGGGAATTGTCAAAAGTAGCCGGCTGCCAGCAAAAATCGCTGCCTACTTGGTTAGTATGAGCCGGCTACTCTGCTTAGCATTTATTTACGGATGGGGTTTTTTAATTATTATATCCCTGGACTGGCCGCTCACTTTGACAACTCAGCTGTCTACTTTAAAACGTTCTGACACCCCTGAATCATGCTCATGTTGGCTTTGTCATTTCCTTGAGAGTTGTTAATTTTGTGTGTGTTTTAAGGGAGTGAGGGTGAGGCCCCTCATAAAGTCACTTGGACTGATTACATGGAAGCTGCCCTCAGCAAGGCTGCTCCTGATTGTTGCTTCAAACATGTGAGTGTCTTATATAATCTATATTGTGATATTTTGCCAGTTCTGGACGAACTTCTGGGTAGTCTAAATTGTCTCAGCTTTCACTCGAGCTATACTCTGCCATTGTTGTTGACTGCAGTGTAGCAGGATTAAAATGAGCTAGCTGGCCTGTGCCACTGTTCCCCAGGACACACCTTCACTGAGAGCTGTAACTGCCATTGACATCGCTCGCACTGTTTTTGACATCTATTATCACTATTATTATTATTATTATTTATTGCTACTATTATTATTTAATTTTTTATGTATATTGTTGTTGGAAGTTGAAGAATTATTATAATTTTGTAAGTAATATTTATTTATTCACCCAACAGACGACAGTTGAAGTTCCTGGCTTAAAACCTGGCATGAAACTGGAAGCGGTTGACAGGAACAACCCACCTTCATTCTGTGTTGCCACGGTTATACAGAAGGTTGGACAAAGAGTGCGCATTCGTTATGATGGGTTTGGAAAGGATAGTAGCAATGACCACTGGTGTAACTTCCAAGCAGAGGAACTTCACCCAATAGGATGGTGTGCACAGAATGGATACCCTCTACAACCACCAAAAGGTAAATAACAAGTCATGTATTTGTATAGAGTGTTTTCACATGACGTCGCGGCAGCCCTGTTGGTGTCCCAAAACAGTGAAACGGTGGCCATGTTGGTGTCCCACACCAATCCTTTTGGAGTTGAACTCTTTTCTTATGCAAATGATCTCTTTTGTTCCAATAAATTTGCATAGATGCTGGCCACGTGAGTGAAAACACTTTATAGGTGTCTCCTTAACCCTTTAAATCCCAGTATCAACATACAAATTCTCTAGACTGCATGACCTGTATGCATTTCTTAAGGAATTGTTTATGAGAATTTGATAAAAGATCAAAGCTTTTTCTCATTGGTGATCATTTTGTCAATTCTCTTAACTTTTTCTCTTGATAATGTAAAACAGTATTGGAATTGTTAGGAGAAAATTCATTTTGGCCAGTCTTGGGAACTAAAGATTTAATTAGTAGATTTAGTACAAGTGTTGGTTTGGATCTTAGGGGTGGTTGAACCCCAGGGTAGTTATTACTGAAACCACCAATGTTAACATGCTTAAGTTGCAACGGATTTGTCCTACCACATTTCCTGTCACATTTTTATAATTTCTGTGTCCTGTCTTGACTCGATCATTTTGATGTCGTTGATTTGTAAAACACAGTGCTGTCCCAAATTTGAAAGTATTATTTGACTGATCCCCTTTAAAACTCATTTAACTGTAAATAATTTGTTATTCTGTTTTATCATTTTAGGCATTAATAGCACTCTAGAGGACTGGAGAACTTTCTTAACTCAGACGCTTACTGGTGCACTTGCTGCACCTCATGACCTTTTTAGAAAGGTATGTGGTGATTGGTGTGCCAGTCATCGATAAATTACATGTGTAATACTACTGTATGAGAAATTTCTGCAATTTGATTGGGTGGTACTTCAGCTTAATTTGAAATACCTACATGTGAAAATTACAAACCTTGTTTGGGTAGTAGTATAAACAAATAATAGCATGATTTGGACATGTTGTTTGGTATAAATACCACTCGTGATATTTCAAAATTGTCTCAAATTTCACTCGCCTAATGGCTCGTGAAATTACGTGTAACAATTTCGAGTTATCACTCGTGGTATTTATGCCAAATGTCACTGCAAATCATGCTGTTACCTGTACTAATCAGTCATTGATCAAAAGCTTACATGTAAGTTGACCCATATAATAATCAATTATAGAAAAAGTTAAATCAATATGTGGAAAAATGAAAAATGAAATCTTTGCAATTAGAAAATATGTTAAAAATAGCGGGTTTTTTAGTAGACAGATATTAATGCAGCTATATAAATCTATTGTCTGTTTTTGTTGCGCTCTTTACAAACATAGCACAAAATGAATCCCCTTATGGTCCACAGTAAATAAAGCTCAAAAGTTAGATGTTTACTTTGACTTACACACACGTGAAAAATAAGTTCCATACTTTTGAAGAGATTTTTCTAATTTTTTAAAGACAGTGATCAGTCCACTGGGTCAATCTGATTATTGCTGATATAATATATTATTCTAAGAATCTCAGCCAATTCCCAACAACTGACACAGTCATCTCTGCGCAGGTAGATCTGTGCATGTCTGCATTTGACTGTTGTTGTTTTTTCTAATAAACCTGATTCTTTTCAAGCAGACTCAAGAGCACTTCCAGCCGCGTGTTCATGGTTTTGAAGTTGGCATGAAGTTGGAGGTAGTTCACCCAATAAAACCATCAATCATCTGTCCTGCTACAGTGACTAAGAGTCTTGGGCCGTACTACTTTGCCATCACCACTGATTACCAAGAAGATGTCCCTTCTGTCACATTCTGTTGTCATAGTGACTCTCCAGGGATATTTCCAGCGGGGTGGTGTTCTAGGCATCAGGTTGAACTTGCCGTCCCTGCAAGTAAGTGGAAAGAATATCACCAACTTCCCTGGAGAAAATAATATGATCATTAAGTACAAAAGTGTCGAAAATGCACAGACCTGTTTTGGTTGAAATTTATGCTTTTAAAAATGCACTTTTTTGAGTGTCAATGTATTTAGCATGAAAGTACTAATTGGGGACACTATATTTTACGTTTCCAACTGGAGACAGCACTGACATGTGGTCACAATTAGAGCCACGTGAAGGTCTAAGCCACTTGCAGTGCAAAGGGAGTACCTTCATTTCTCAGTTGTCTTAAAGACCCTGAGTATTGGTCCGACCCTGGGAATCGAACCCATGACCTCCTGCTCTGTAGTGAAGTGTTCTACCGACTGAGCTACATGTCCTGCTGCAGTTAAAAAAGAGTATTTTTGGGCATGGGAATTTGGTAGTGATTCTTTCGGTCAGTATAAAACACGGACTGCGGACTGCGGACCATGGACTGCGGACTGGGTATAAAATATGGACTAGGTATAAAATGCGGATTCCGGACTGAGTATAAAACACGGACTAGCTATAAAACGCGGACTACGGACTATGACGACTTTAAAAAGGTAAAACTGAGAGAAATGGAAAGCGGACTAGCAAAAACAGTAGTCCCAGCTTTAACATTCCCTTGGCTGTTCACTTAGTCTATTCTTCCCACGGAGAAGGAAGGTCATGCCGGTACTCAAGGCAACTGAAATTAAACTCTGAATTTTATAAAAAGAGGGAGTTAGAAGAGATTTCAATTTGCAGTTTTAAACCAATAAGAAGCAGCGAATTTAAAAAAATAGTGCTGGTGTTAGTCAGATCAGTAAAATTCTTATCAGATGCCATAATTCCGTTTCAAATAAAGCCTTGGGAATACGAGGACTGAATGAGGAACTCAGACGAGAAGGTCAATGTAGGGGCATTCCGCGATGCACAAAAGCAGTATTTAGGGGGAAGGGATTACTCTCATGCGTGAATAATAACCGAAATGAGTCATCCAACGTTATATTCTAAGCGATGATTATGATGGCATGATTTACACCCTTCTCCTGATCCCCGGACGGTGGTACTACTGGGTGTTCTTGGTGGGGGTGTGGGACCCGGTTCTCCGAATCCTGACCTTATTGCAGACCAAAAAATGTCATTTTCCACATCCGTTTTCAGACCAGATCTCTAAAATCCATACCCATTTTCGGATCTGGCCTAATTTAGCCTGTTTCAGGCTCTCAGATAGTTGGGGAAACTCCCCAGTTTTGTCCCATTTTATTTTCGTGTTTTCGCTTTCTCAATTCAGCGGACCCAACTATCTCAGAGCCTGGAACAGTTTAGGTCTAATTAGGCAGAAATTATGTCGTCATTACCAAGTAAGAGGGGAAACAAAAAAGTTCTCCAAATGCATTTCGAATTCGCACACTTCTATTTTGTTCTTATTCATTTGGAATTGAAACGATAAATACGTCCATTCATGTACGCTCCGGAAGTTCCCTCGAAAACCATACCCGATTCCACACCAAAATGGGCAAAGTGTTTTCAGACCAAAAAGGCCCCAAGCCCCTACCCTTTCATTATATAATGACAATGACAATGACAATGCTTTATTTATTTGGAGTCTTATACAGTCCTATGTACATTGACTTTATCCAAATAATTAATTCAGAATCATAAGACAAATTGCACACTAGTGGACACTAGTAGTTATATAAGGGAGTACCACCCCAGATCCTGACCCCTTTCATGATTGTTAGAGACCGAGACAAGGTCTAAAAATGGGTGTAGAAAATAGCATTTTGATCCGGCTCATGATTCAGAGAACTGAGTGGCCCACCTCCACCAAGACTGATTTATAGGAGTATTTACAACTTTAACTCACGTGTCTTGCTATTTAGCGATCTTTTGATCTTATTTTTCCTTACCTAGAACCAAATAGCACCATTTTTACAAAAGTAGTCCGTAGTCCATATTTTATACCCAGTCCGCAGTCCACAGTCGGCGTTTTATACCTTGTCCGTGTTTTATACCCAGTCCGTGTTTTCCAGTCCGCGTTTTATACCTAGTCCGTATTTTATACCCAGTCCACAGTCCGTAGTCCGCAGTCCGCAGTCCGTGTTTTATACTGACCGGTGATTCTTTGGGTGGATATAGTCATTTTCATTGGTAACAAATACAAAAGTGCTGTGTGACAACCCAGGCTAGCGGGGCAACTGGGCCCGCGTCAGGCTTGCATTTTTTATTACGAGTTTTCCAATGGCAAGCAACATTTGCAGAGAAGAAATTAATAATAATTAATAATTGCTATTTCTCCAGGCTAATTAGTAATATTATTATTCATTTGATTTTTTTATGTTAATTTCTTGTGAAGTGAACGACTGTAAGGCCACTTGCAGAGCGAGTCAATAGTTTTGTCGAAATTTGTGTCATGCGTGTAATGACTGTGTGGATTGGGAAGGGGCGGCAGAAACACAAGTTGGCTTTTTATATATTGGGTTGGTAGTTGCAGTGTTGTTATTGATATGTGATGTTGAGTTGTTTGGTCTGTTGTTTGTATTTTCACTGTTTTTGATGATCAAGAAATGATTCTGGCTGGATATTTTGACTGCGGAAGTATTTTACAGAAAACATTGACAGAGGCAATTGGGCCAGCAGCTTCAAAATACAAGCGAAAATTGAGATAAAGGAAGAATAATAAATTGTTCCTTTATCTCAATTATTGTCAGGCATGCAATTATTGTCAGTGCGACTCACTTAGCAAAAGAGTTTGTTTAGGCTGGCGATATGTCTCTCCAAAGTGTGTTTCAATTTGACTTTTTACCGTCGAAACCCTGCAAAAAGTCTTTTTCCCTGTCATCTTTTTTTTAAAATAGCTTTATTGGGTTTCATTATCTGATACATAATTACGTAGAAACTTTTTAAAAAAGCAATAAAAAGTGGGAGAAGAAAAAAAGGAAAAAAGGTATTATATCCAAAGTGGCAAAACCTTAAACAAGACCATAAGGACTTAAAGAAAGAAAAAAAACTAAATATAAAAGGTCAAAATCAATTATTAAATAAATTATTATCTCATTTGGAATTCATTTTACATGGTGAAAAAGTCAAATTTAGTTTGCGATTTTTCGCACTGATGGATCAAAGATTCAGCACCATACTTCGGCCCAAAGTATAGTAATTTGCATGCTAACTGTACTGCCTTTTTTGTATTTTTTTTCTCAATCTGGCGGACAAAATAATGCTAAATATGCTTTTCAATACACTTTTAAACATAAAACCAGACAATGCGGAAAGAAGAAGAAGAAAAAAAAGAAAGAGTGACCTTCATGACTATATTCGCAGCTGATCACCTATCTAGTTATTAACCCTGCCGGACATGGCTTTAAACTTGAGTTGTGCTACTGAAAAACCTAGTTTTGTGAGGGTTATTGCGAGATATGTTTTGTAGTAACATGTTAGTTCTTTGAATCTTCAGACTACACCAAAAAGACATTCACATGGGAAAAATATTTAGCCATTTGTCGTGCACCATTTACACCTGCTCCCTTGTTTAGGGTAAGTGTGATTAAGAGGCAGATCAAGAATAGTTAAGGCATGGAAACTGCAGTAATATTTTTTAAATCGTTTTTTAGTGTTTATACTACTTACATGAGAAATTTTCTGCAATTTGATTAGCTTAGAGCATGCAGTGGTATTTCAGGTTAATTTGAAATACCTACATGTGAAAATTACAAACCTTTTGCTGGTACTAGAATAAACAAATAATAGCATGATTTGTAGGTGATATTTGGCATAAATACCACTCGTGATATTTCAAAATTGTTTCAAATTTCACTCGCCTAATGGCTCTTGAAATTACGTATAACAACTTTGAAACATCACTTGTGGTATTTATGCCAAATATCACTACAAATCATGCTATTACCTATACTAATCCATTTCACCCCTCAGTATTTCTGTTAGCCGGATAAGAAATTTGGTTCAGATCAGCCAAATTGAATAAGAACTGCTTGACAAGTTACCCAGATATTACAATAGGGACTTTAAGATCCAACGATGTGATGACGACAAGAACGTCGCTTAAAAAGTCTTTATAGCGATTATTCCTACCCACTTACTTCGTCAATTGTAGGCGAACCCTCCTGAAGCTGAATTTCAAGGGACCAAATTCAAGCTCAGAAAGAGAAATAAAATTTCTTCGTCGGTTGTTTACGTCCTCCATAAAACGCGAAATTAGGAATTTTCACGTCGTAGTCATGTAAAAACGGGAAAGAAATGTACAAAAAAGTGTGATGCACGTGCAAAGTTGTTGTTTTGCTAATTAATTGTTTTTTTGACATTCTTGTTGTCGTCCGCGTCGTTGGATCTTAAAGTCCCTATTATTGCCGTTGAACCTCCATGTTCAACCTCCTGTTGTATATTGACCAGGTCCTCTCCAAAACACCATGTTCCCAGTCATAGCCCCATAAGTAGATCTGCTTGTAAATTATGCAACCACCTCTCATAAGTGGCTGGAAGCACTTTTTGTTCTGACCATTTATAGTTTTCCAGTACTGTGTAAACAAGGGACGAGCAGGAGTGTATTATGCCGAGAGTTTTTAAACCTGATAATACGTACGTACATGACTGAGAGTTTTTTGAACGGCTTCAAAATCTCTGTTATAGATCAACTCATTCTTGTATTAATATTTAGATTTGGTGTTATTGGTTTAAAAATTGGACGTAAAGTTTAGCTGTGTCTTTGACTGATATCACAGGAAAAAATAACGGATTCCCATTTTTGGATATTTTTGGGTATTTAAAGAATACCCATAAAAATCCCAAATTTGGCAAAGTGACACAAGTCCCAACCAGGGAATTCCCAACCAAGTTCCCAGATTGGACTTGTCTCACTCTTCCAAATTTGGGATTTTTGTGGGTATTCTTTAAATACCCAAAAATTGGGAACCCGTTATTTTTTCCTGTGTATAAAGACACTCATTAAGCATTAATTTCTTTTTTTTATATATATGAATTATTAATGAGTTCTTGAATTGTTTTTACCCTCTTTTAAGCAACCACTGGATGCACAGTGTATAATATAAGTCTCTTTATCTGCTGTAATTGTACAACCCAGTGAGAAAAGAAATTTCAGCTGCAAAAAATTCTGAACCAAAACATAGATCTATGTGTTGGGACTTCTTCTCAGAAGAGACCCCTTGTAGTTCAATCCTGGTAAGTAGCCACCTGCCGTTAACAACTCCACTAAAATAATCTTTACAGTTTGGGTGGCTTCTTTAGGCAGGTTCGACTGAATAATAATAATCATTGTAACTGTAATGCTCCAGTGCTTAAACAGTGTTTCTAATATTTTTAATGCAGAAAATAAAGACTCATAAATTCAAACCTGGCATGAAGCTGGAAGTAGTTGATTTGGAGCAGCCGCAAATCATTCGTGTTGCCACTATAACAAATGGTATGGGGCGGATGTTACAGCTGTTCTTTGATGGCCAGCAAAAGTTTCAGTTTGTCGATTTTGAGTCACCTGACATTTACCCCATTGGCTGGTGCAAAAGAACTGGACACCCCCTTCATTCACCATTTGGTCCAAGTAAGTTTTGATTGTGTAATCAGGTTTAAAAAATGTTGATGGTTGGTTTGTAGTGTAAGTAGTGCAGTTTGCTGATCTAGCTTGAGTTTACAGGCACTCCACACAAATACAAATTAATATATACTGTAAGGGGATTAAAATGCCCAACTGCAGGAGGCAACCAGTCTCTATTCACAATGAGGCCTGACCAAGGTTTTGAACTTGGAACGACCAAGAAACAAACCCAGTTAGTGGCCAGAGAAGGAATCAAACCCAGGACTGCCAGATTGTGATTCTGACATGGTGACCATTGGGCCACGCTTTACATAGTGTTCCCCCATGCCAATCAGTTTATAAGTGTCCAGTGTTGATCTAGCCTGCAAGCTGGCAAGCTCTCCATTTGAAGTGGTGAGCAAAGCAAGCTGCAAAGAAAACGAAAGCTTAAGCCACCAGAGGTAGAGGAAAAGGAGAGCTAGAAAGATCTCTGAAGGATTTTTATTTCTGCTTTTTTAAAAATGAATAGCTCCTTACAGTTGTAAATAAATTTTGATTGATGACAGGCATGGCTGTCTGTGCATGTGGGTGATTCTTAAGGTTCAATTTGGTCTTGAGTCCGCACTTTATAGAACCTGGCATAATAGAAGAGATTGCAGTAAAGAAGTTTGCCAGGAAATCTAGCTTCTACTAAATAGGACCACCTTTTTTGTATGTAGTGGCATTTATGAATTTCGAGAAGTAGAGTGGATTTCATCTCAAAGTGAATATGTGGAAGATAGATATGCTCAGAAAAAATCATTGTGGTGACAAAAACATTGTTTTGAAACAGTGGAAAGCTTGGAGTGGTAGCTAGCTTAACTTTCATATGAGGTCAAGGCTTTGACTGACGGCTGTCGCATTTCTTGTCTCTGATACAATGTTTTTAGGCTTTATGGTTTCTGGGGTGGAAAGAAAATTTATTAAAGATTGCTTTAAATCCCCTTTCCTCACTCTCGCATCTTCTCTTGTTTGTGGCTTGCCCATAACAGAAAAGGAGAGCTTGCTCACACGGGTTAGTGTTGATCTCACCTTCCCACTCAGTAGCTTTTCAAAGAAACTGGGCTGCTAAGACAAGGTGGCAGATTGACAGTAAACATTTCACGTTTAATTGCTGCCCAGTATGACATAAGTCTGTTTTTTTTAGTGAACGTTTGAGTTTTGAAGTTAATCTTTTCCATATCATTGAGGAGACTATTTGATCATTTACTGTTTTTTTTATTTCATTACAGTTCCATCAGATGCAGTAAGGTTGGTATACCCTACGTGACTTTTTTTCAGCTTAAATTTTTGCAATTTGCTTGAAGTGCATTTCTCTGTCCTTTTTTTAAATATTTGCTGTGTAATTGATCAGTTTTTTAGAGAGCTTTAATGTTATTTACAGGTGCAGTAAATTTTGTTCTTGGTCCAGTGAACAAACAGATCGTCGGTGCCATCCCTAGTGGAAAAGTGAATTACTTGAAAAATAAGTTGTAGTGTTTAAAGGTCTCCGATTTTTTAGTATTGTAGCAGTCGTATGAATTAGTCACGTGACGGCTAATGATAGAGAACCGCAGGAAGTTCTTAACCCCCATCTCTATTGAGGGTTGAATGCTGGCATCTGATAGGGATGGCCTTAATTTGAGTTTTCTTTTAATGTCCACCGTCTCCTGGTCAAGGATCGTGATCCCCTTCCAGTCGATCTCGTGGTTGGCGTTAGACTGGTGTTCCCAGATTGTAGATTGTTTAATTTGTTGTTTTATCTTTTTTGCCATGTGACTAATTCGACAACAACACAGAGCATTCATTGCTGACGAACACTTTGCGGTACTGTCAAAGGCTCCAATATTAAATAATCTGAGACCTTTTGAGTCACTAGAATTTATTTTTCAAATTTCAATTCCAAGGTCAAGAATAAGCATTCATGGAATTTTGAATCACAACCGACTTGTCAAGACTTTGAGTTAATTATACATAAATGATAATTTCAGTCACAGTTGTAAAATTCCGTCAATGCTGTTACAGTAGGACGGTGCAATATGAGCAAAGCAGTGAACTGAAAAACAAAATCAAAATCCTTTGGTTGATCTTTGATAATACACGTACATTTTAAACTACAGCAATGATAAAGATTTGAGTGATGGATAATAAAGTACAGTGTACATGTAACGTTTTGTTGCAATCTGCAGCTCATCTGATGAAGAAGAGACTTTAGACTTGCCGTCATTCCTAGAGGTCATGGGAAGACAGAACCAATCCCAAACAGGGCAGCAAGCTGTTGGTAAGTTAGCTCTATCAAGTTCTCATTGCGTTGTTTAAGAAAATTCTTTAAGAACAGTTTTTGCATCAGATTTCATTTTTCTGGACTTTATATGATTTGCCTGCTAGTAATACGTGGAAGGAGATTCGATGCAGTTACCAATCACACTTGATATACAGTAAAAACCTGTGACTAAGAACCTGGTTTTTAAGAACCTTCGGGGCTTTGGCAGCACAGGAGAATTTCAACTTTTTTAAACGTTGCAAAATAGTGAAAATTGGTTAGAACTGTTATATAAACAGGGGCGGATTTAAGGGTGAGCCGAGAGGGCCGCGGCCACCCCTTTTTCTTTGAAATTTTGTATCATTTTTACAGAATTCTCAGAAAAAATAAAAAAGTATCTGTATAGCTGATAAAAAAGACAAGACCGCAGATTCCATTCAAGAAGCAATCTATTTTTCGGCATGTATACTTTGAAATTGCTCTGAGTTGCAGATACCAATACCCTTTTTCCATTCACCATTGACGATGTGAACCTTTTTACCTTCTCAGGGATGCTTCCAAAACGAATACCATCGATCAGGTAGGGAGATCTAATGACATCGTGTTAATAGTTTCGGTTGTAAAGTGAAACAAGCCTGCAGTGTATTCTGTTATAGTCTTATCGTATTTAGCAAAGTCAGTCAGCAATGTCTTTAGTGCTGTGCGAAGTAGGTCAGCAAAGAATAATAAAAAAACAGATTGTCATTAATAATTTAGAATCTGACGGAAATACTGACTGGATGATTGATTGATTGATCGAACAATCAGTTGATTGAGTCAGTTTTAACCCCCCCCCCCCCCCCCCCTCCCACCAACGAAGCACCTCGACCACTCCATTTATCTGATTGGCTTACTGAGAGCAAACAACCGTTTCCTGGTATGTTGTTCAGCTTTCTTACCTACTCATTGGCATAGGTCCTACCTATTGCTTTGTTAGAGTATTATTTATTGCTAGAGTTTGACAAAAGGCTCCTTGAAACTCGCCTTTATAAAAGAAAATTAATGCTATTTCTTCGCTCAGTGTCACGCTTATAAGGACGGGAAATTGGAAGAAACCTAAGATGGAAATGAAAAATAAATAAAATAAGGCGAGCTAAAAGGTTAGCAAACGAAACGTCGAGTAAAAATACCGCATGAGAGAGGAGCAGATATTTTGGAGATATTTTTTAACCCTAACACCAACAAAAAACCAGTGTAGTGTGCTTCCATTCGCTAAATCAATCAAACTTTACTGTTTCTTTGATTGTGTTTACGTGTTGGCATTTCAAGGACCTACCAAATGGGATTTTTTTTCCCTTTGATTTATTTAATTCTTGCAGTAAAATCGAAAAGGATGACAAGTCGGCCGGAGAGGAGAGCGACATCAGTGACGATGACACAGGTAGGCGGAGATTTCCGATTGGCTCAGCCAGAAAGTATTGAAACGGTCTGACCAATCAGGTTCTACTAGCATGTTGTGGATTCAGCCAATTAGGAATCAGGATCCTTGCAACATACCACATTAATTTAACCTTTTATGAAAGCCAGGCTGTCAATTAGAAACTCGTTTAGCTGGTAGTTTGTTTGATACTCGATGCTGCTCTACGATGAAAAGGCATGCTACCAAAACATTGAAACGTTGACTCTTTTGCCAGGTTCAGAACGCTTTTATCACAACAAGAACCAGATCTTCTTCAACAAAAGCTGTTGCTATGGTCCCCTTTTGGACCCGGACAAGGTGTCACAGTTGCCTGAGGCCACCCCTCCTGGGAAGGTCAGTAGTGTTATACGCACAGGACTGGAGATGGTAGCAAAGGCGGCTTTCGATCCTGAAAAGGTGATAGACCTAATGCAGGAAGGATGCGGAGTACGAGTCGTGGTTAAACACAAGGGCAAGATTCTAAAGAAGGTAAGAGAACCCACAGCTTTCGTGGTAGTCGTTGGATAGGGAAGGGGGCAGACGGAAAATCGTGTGAGAGAGAACACGAAGGGCTTCATCACGGGCAAACTTGAGAAATTTGCAAAAGTTATGCGCAGTTTAGACTACGAGCTGTCTCTCTTTTTTCTTGGTCCGTCGAGCAAAACGCGCGAGACACGCAAATGACCACGCGCGTGACTGAAGGCGCGAGGCGCTCAACGCTCGCGCGCGCGTGCACTCCCCTTACTAAATCTGAAGAAAAAGAGAGACTGCGCGCAGTCTGCTCGCAGTCTTATTTTCATTTCAAAGTTTTGATACCATTCGGACACCCGTTGGACACTTATTTTCAGTTTGCTTTTCCCTGGGGAAAGAAAGATACATTTTCGGACACCCGCTTAATATGGACACTTCATTATTACGGGCAGTTTGCTTTGTCCCTGGGGAAAGAAAGCCCTTACATTTTCTCTAAATTCAACCCGCTTAATTTCATTATTACTACATTCAACCCTTACTTTTCTCTAATTCAACCCGCTTAATATGGACACCTCATTATTACGGACACCCTGGGGAAAGAAAGCTCATTATTTTCGGACAACCCGTTTGGACCTTTGTCCCTGGGGAAAGAAACCCCTTACATTTTCTCTAAATTCAACCCGCTTAATATGGACACCTCATTATTACGGACAGTTTCCTTTGTCCCTGGGGAAAGAAAGCCCTTACATTTTCTCTAAATTCAACCCCCTTATTACGGACACCTCATTATTACTCGCAGTTTGCTTTGTCCCTGGTGAAAGAAAGCCCTTACATTTTCTCTTCATTCAACCCCGCTTAACGCGGACAGCCGGTTATACGGACACTTTCTATAGCCCCCTTAGTGTCCGTAATAGCGGAGTTTGACTTCGAGGGGTGCTGCCGACCGGAATGGACAGGCTCACATAAAGACAGATACGGCTAACATGTGAAATTTGGATTAATTTACGCTCAAGCACATGGGTGGGTAGAATGAGTTATCAGTTGAGAAGACAGAGGGACAGATTGATGGGCACACAAATGTTTGGGTGGACAGACAAAATGATCCCGAGAGTTTAACCGTGTGGTTTTTGTAAATGATAAGCACCGCAGGATAGACAAGAAGGTAAAAAAGGACAGAGATGATGGGTTGAACAGATAGACAGACAACAAGGCCATCAGGCAGAGTAATTCACTCTGTCAAGAAGTAACGACAAAACATTCGACTACTTCTCGTTTTTCCCCCTACACTTCTTTTGTGCTTTACAAGAGAACAGAGAAGAGTCAAGGCTTCTTTATTTGTTTTATGATAAAGAATCCGTTAAATTCCCGACGCATTACTTTCTAATTTTCAAAACAAACTTGAGCTCCGTTTTTTGTACTGTCACAAAGAACGCTTTTTCAACCAATCAGAGTGCTCGTTATATCTGAACTTTATTAAGAAGACATCGGCGGCTAATCTAGATCTTTAAGTAAGTTGGGTCCTCGCTCATGTGGTCCCTAAAAGACGAGAAGGGAGACCGGCCTCGACTCCATTTTTCTTGGCCCTGCGGGCCTCGGTTTGCTCTTAAAAATGAGGTGGGGGCGCGGGCTCGGGCCTACCCTACCCGAGATCGACCATTAGAAATCCTCTCATTTGAATGCTTTTATCAACAGGCGATCTCGCGGGTGGACTCGCGGCCAAAGCTAGAGCGTTACTTAAAGAGGTTTTGCCGTCGTCTCATCTGTTGTGAGTATTTCTTGAGTCTGAAGCCTGTTCCGACGCCATGCCCTGATCAGTGCCAGGCAGATGGTAAGTAGGGGAATGGGGTTCATCATTTCATTACCTCAGTCGACCCTTGTACCATTCATGAAAGTGCTGCTATGTCTGCCTGTAGAGTGTGTGGTTGTAATCCGGCATATTTGGTCTGTATTTTAATAGTAAGAGCGTTTTTTTCCATCCGGAAGTTCTACTTTGCGAGACATTTTTTAACCAATGGTGCAACTCGCCTAACACCTTCTGGTGGGGTTTTGTTGACGTTGGATTCAAGAAGGAAGTTTTAGGCCCGCAGTGAAGATAAAATAAATGAAACAAAAAGAAGCCATTCAAACTGTGTTTTCACGGAATATCTGTCGACATCTGAATGTGAGTACATTAAGTTAACGGGTTACCGTACAACAACGACAAAGCCAAAAAAATTCCGGGCCATGCGCGGAATCAAAATAAAAAGGAATTGTTTCAGTATTTTGACACTCTATAGCTCTATCAGCTGGGATTTAAGAACGAAATCGTATTCCAGTAGTGAGAAGTAAAAGAAAAGAAAGAAAGAAACCTTTAAAGCTAAGCGTTCACAGAATGTGTGTCCAAATCTGAACCTGATTACAGTTAGTCCGCAAACGCTATTCCAATCGCAATATTTCAATAGTATATCGTTAATGCACTTTGCCGGATACCCACAATTTGACGACTGTAAATCTACTCAAAAAAGACTACAAAACACATACTGCCCTTATTTTACGGTTCACGTCTGCCTTGTAAACAGTGCGTTACACATTTCTTTTGAGGGTAGATTTTCCGTTCCTTTGCTTCAAATTTTTCATGTAGCTCTTCTTGTCAGACCCTTGATCCCATGTGAAGTGACCGGTTTAAAAACTTTATGATTTTAAAATCAAATTGATTTTTGTTTCGATTTTGCCGTTTTCAGCATTCTTTTTGTAAAATTTTATTACTCATATTCCTTTCACAAAAAATAGCAGTCAAATTCGTATTTTGTAGTTAAATTATGATAACAGCTGACGACAGTGAAAACGATTCCTTGTCATTGGCTTTTTACATGTTGGTACATTCTTTGTCTTTCACTACTAGAAACCTACGTTAAGTGATAGAATGAAACGTTTAAAGGACAGCTTAAATATGCTCTGGTTAATTTTCCTTTCTCTATTTTAACTTGCATACATTTCAACAAATTCTTCTTACTGGCAATTTAGTCTGATTAAAAAAATGGCAGAGAAAGGACAAACGAATTAATTCTCGACTTTGACGTTTTCCTTGACGTCGCCTTTATCGGGCTGTGTAAGTTTTCTGATGCACTTGAAAAAAATCTTCCACTACTTGAGTAAGTTATCTTGAAGGAGAATGTAAATCTAAGTTTTAAGTCTATGATTGAAGCCCATAAATTTGACCAGTTAGAAGTCCTTTTTTCACATTTTACTGTATAAGACTGAAGAGTATAAGAGAATAAGAGCGCTTTCTTATTACTATTTTTTCTTTTATTTAAGTTGGAAACCAATTGTGAAGATTAGGCTTAAGTTTAATTAAAAAGTATAAACGAATTAGAATAACAAAAAGGAAAACTGCTGTTTCCGGGTACCCGTTAAACTCATGAAGGAAAGTTGTGGTTAATAATTAATAACGCCCTTGTGGTAATCAGATCGTCAACTTTGAATTTAGCTAGATCTTTGGCGTTTCATTTGAGAGTTAGATTAGATTACTATCAGAATGTTGATGTAAATTGAGATGGAGAGCGCCTAAATGTCGCCCGTGTCTTGACGGCCATGCAACAATGTGCTTTGAGTACGAAGAACTGAGAATCGTTTTGTCTGCGCCTTATCTTTAACAATATCGTAACTGTAGTTTCAACTTCGTTGGTGACCGAAAGGAATGATTTATTTTGTGTTTCAGATCAAGGAAACTTACAAGGTCCCAAAGGGCTAAAAGCTAAGAGATCTCGCGAATACTTTGAAGTCAAGCATCTCGGAGTTGAGAAAAAGAAACGTGGCCGGAAGCGAAAGTCAGACTACTTACTTCCGGTCGATCCAAACAGTGTTGTTACGAGGGCTCTTGGAGAGAGCGGATTACCCATTGGGGCGCCTTTTAGTGTGGTTCAGGGACAGACCACCTTTTCTACGACAACCGCCATTGCTCCTGTTCAGAATGGTTCCGTAGTCACTCAAACCCCAGGGATTCCCCAAGTGACTCCGCAGGGAGCCACCCCTGGGGTTTCAGTCACGACTGTTAGTGCAGGAGCTCCGGGATTCCAGACGTCTGGCAATGTGACAGTGCCTCGTTCAGCTACCGCAGTAAAAGGCATCCCGGTGATTGCTCCGCAGGGAAAAGTTCCCATGGCCCATCCCCAGCGTTCCCCGGTGCCGATTAACGCTTTACCGGGAGGAAAACCAGTTACAAAGGAGGTAGAGTATCTGAATCAATTTAGGTTTCTAGGAAACTGCCCACCTACCCCTCTCCTAAGTCAACATTAACACTTACTTCTCACTTAGGGCAAAATGTTGGGTTACAGAAGGGGTAGGTGGGTAGTTTCCCATAAACCTAAATAAATCCGAGTATCTATCACAATTAAATTAGTAGAACTCTACTTGTATTCTGTTGCGGTTCTTTCACTGTTATTTTTTATTATTGGCTCAAGTAAGTTGAGGAAATCCAGGTTTTATGCCAATAAAAACTTGCTAAAAAATTTTCGTGAGCATACTCTTAGAGCAGTTAGTGCACCCTAGGATCAGAGGAGCAAAACAGCAAATACTCGCAGCTAAAATGTTGCAAGGTCTATCAACAATTCAATAGGCACGTTAGGGTGAGACTTAATTTCACGATGTCAATTTTTTTTATTTTTAGGGAGTGCAGTCGCATAACCCAGGAAGCGCGCCAAACGTTCCTTTGACTGACGGCTCTAGTCGCATTGTGACCAATGTGTCTAGCCAAAGGTTTGCTACAAACGCTACCAGCTTAGGTACCACAATCACATTCGGCCGGGCTCCTCCTAACGTCACCATATCGAATTGCGTCCCACCTCCGCTGACCAAGATAGCCACCGAGGGCAGCAGCAGTCATGTGACCACCACCACTAACGTGACGGTGGAACCGCATAGTCAGCTTGCGATTCATGCTGTGTCCGCAGTGCAAACGGCCAGCAGTGTTTCAGTGCCGGCTCCTTTCTCCTCCGGTTCTTTACACGTGCCTCCAGTTTCAAGGCCTTCGTTTAGTACCGCCACCGCAGGGCAGATGCCAGTTGGGACTGGGTACAAACCTGCGACGAGCCCCCCGGTATTTCCCAGACAGGTGTTGAGTACGAACCCCGGCGGTGTAATCCGCCATCCTGGAGTCCATCCGAATCCCCCAGGGAATGCCTCACCAATACAAGTAAAGCCAAGCAGTGGAACCACTCCTCCTCCTCCTCCGCTAGTTCCCAATGCTCGCGTAACCCCTCAGGGAGTTCGACCGCAGGGAATGTACGTACCTGCTCAAAGCAGCAGCAGTAGCTCCATTTCACAGCCGCGTCCAGTATTACATTCCCATCAATCTCCTTACAGTCCCATAGCTGCCAGGAGTGGAGTAGTTAATCATCACCCTCAAGGAACTGCCCCTCTCCTTCTAAGTAAATCTTCTGGGGTCACTAGTGCAACCCCTCAAGCTGGCATGGTCGCAAGGGGAGTAGCGCAGCCTGGAGCCCTTCCCGTTTCACAAAGGCCCATCATGCCGAATTATCATGGCGTTCCCCGTTCAAGGAACCCTCCTCAAAACGCCCCTCCGAACATGAGGTTCTCAAGTGTCAGGGCCCCCCTAGGGGGTGGATTTGCGAGGCACCCTCTACCCATGCGTCCTCAGGGGAATGCTGTAGGAGCACAACAGCAGGTGAGATTGTCATTTTCGCAGAGACAAAAAATACATCAGCGTATGTTAATTCCATGAAGATGACGGAAATAAGCGAATTTCAGTCAAACCCCGTTAATACAGACACTAAGGGGGCCGGCCATAGAAAGTTTTCGTATTAACAGGGTGTCCGTATTAAGCGGATTGAATTTAAGAAAAATGTAAGGGCTTTCTTTTCCCACGTAAAAAGCAAACTGCCCGTAATAATAAGGTATCCGTATTAAGCGGGTGTACGTAAAGCGGGGTTTGACTGTAGTCGGTAGGGCTCTTGTATCCGACGGATTTTCGAACCTTCTGGTTCTTTAGAGACCTGAGGGCCAAGTTGTTGGAATGCCGATTAGTGCTAACCCGGGATTAAATTTTATTCTGGGTTTCTTTTATGTTCAAAAACATTTTCTCAGTTGATTTTCTCTCGGTTCTTTTTAGAGCATCGAATCATCAAGATGTAGACCCGCAAAAAGAATTAAAACAAATTAGAATCTTAACTTACTTTTAAGCTTTCATAGCTGAATTTAAATTTCGCATTAACCCTGGGTTGTCTTAAGCCAGCTTTGAACAACTCGGTCCTGGTTGAAGTTGTGATTATTGACGTTATTTTCAGAGCTTCAAATTGCGCTTTAACGTGCCTACGGTGTCGGGAACAGTACACCAGCGGAATATGGGATCTAATCCACCTGTAAGTTTCGTGGACGCGAAATTGGTGACGAAATCTCGTATCGGTCCAACACCGATACAGCCCAAGTCTTCTATAGAGCATCTGGAAGCTCTGACGAATGCCACCAACCAAGAAGTGAAGATAAACGACGAACCAAAGATAAAGGAAGAGGAAACGAAAGTGGACGAAGAAGAGGAAGAAAAGGGAGAAAACGAAGAGAAGTCTGCATCACCTCCAAAAAGGAATCTGTGGTGGCTGAAAAAGAAGCGGAGAAAGCGGCCACGACTGACCTATATTAAAACGAAGTATCGTCGCAAAGATGACGAAGGCGCTCCGAGTACTTCCGAAGTAACTCCGATGGACATGGATATAGAGGACGATCCCGAAGTTGAAGTGGATGATGGTCCCTCTCAGTCGTCCTTAGGAGACAGGCCCAAAAGAGGACGACCCCCTAAGGGCGTTGGGTTCCGTTTCAAGACTGAAAACTTCTCGAATAGTGATCCCGACTGGGACGAGTCGGAAGAAAGAAGGCGAGTTAAACCTGTGGTCAAGAAAAGAAAAGGAAGAATCAAGAAAGGTATATGATTGAAATTTAATTGCTTGATAAGAACCTGGCCCTGGTTGTTCAAAACCTGGATAGCGATTTATCCGGTGAGAATAAGTATTACGAAAACCAAAATTGCTATACCGAGTGGATCAGTAATTTATCCAGTGGATAGTGCTATCCGCCTTTCGAACAACTGGGGCCTGGTATGATTTGCGATCAGTGGAAAGTGGGCCAAGCTCCCTTTATAAGTACTTTCCAGTAGACTGCCATATCCGGAGTAGGTGAACACTTCCTTTTTCTATGTCATGGTGAGCGCCACTTTTCTCGTTAAACTGCTGAACTGATTTAATAACTAGTAATTCTCACTTGGAACTCTAAAAGAAAGATATCAAATGATTGTAACGAAGGGAAACAAAGTATTATCGGTTTTTGGACATTTTTCGATAACGCAGGAGTTTAACCTGAAAAAGTTGGCCCGAATTTTCAAGTTGCAATCCGTTGCAAATCGAAAACAATTCTTCATAGTCTATACTCTTATGTTCAAAACTTTGCAGTGAAACCACTCTCCTGCGGATCGTAGTTCCGCTTGAGTTTTGAACATTCTGACATTTTGACGTCATTCCTATGGTCGACATTCGACAAGAGTGGTGGACGCTTGATTGACCGGACGCTTTAGCTAGCGCTCCGCGTTCTCGCATATGTGTATTTGTCGTTAGGTTAGTTTAGATCATTTCTTTTTTTTTTTTGTTTTTGACTAATGGGAGACAAAGTTAAGGCGTTAAGAAAAGAAAACGATGATTTAAAGAGACAATTGAATAATCTGAAGAAGTGCATCAGTAGTCTGTAGTCATAACTGTGTTGTCTTTTATTATTAGTAATACCGTTAGTTTATCAGTAGTCTCTAGTCATTGATGTCAATTTTAGTTTCCTCAGTTCTCTTGTTACTTTTAGTTGTATTTAGTTGTATTTATTTCCTGTGAACATAACCCCCCCTAGATTAGCTTAGCATATATGTATGCATCCATCTATGTATGTAAAATTGTTGTCGAATTGTTAAGTCGACATTGATTGCTTGTTAATGCTCGATTCCTTCTTCCCTAGATTCTACTGAAGTGACGTCACCGAAACTGAAGTCTCCAGGCTTGGCTGGACCATCACAAATCCCAGGCTTCTCTGGTGCCGTGGTGAAGGAGGCTGGAACCAGTCCCCCATCACATTTGGCTCGTTCACCCCCATTTTCACCTCGGAGTTTTCAACGTGCACATGCTTATCACGGAACAGGCATCCCTGGCGATAAACGTGTTATTTCTCCTAAGGGCTCTGTGTCTAAAATGGTGCGCATGAGTTCTGGATCAGATCCCAGAGGTATAGTTCTCTTTTAGCATTTAGCTTTTTGAATTATACGCTGTTATTAAATGCCCGTCGAATACCAACCCATTTTATCATGTTTTAGTATTACGTTTATTTGCGCAATAATAAATAATAAATAAATAATAACATTTATTTGTACCGCGCAAATTCAACTATACAGTTTTCAAATGCGCCTTACAATTAAAAATTACACGAATGAATAATTATCTAGTCTATAAATTACAACATAATATCAGAAAAGGCTTTTTTAAAAAGGTGAGTCTTCAAATTACGTTTAAAAACTTCAAAATCGGAGGTGCATCTAAGATCTCACGGAAGATGATTCCACAGTTTTGGTGCGGCGGCTACAAAGGCTCGGTCACCAAGAGTGGGGAGAGTCCTGAAGTTTGGATTTGAAAGCAGATATTTGTTATTTGATCTGAGACTGTAGGTAGAATTAGGTTTAAAGTTAGCGTTAGCATTATCAAGCAATAAATATTATTATTAACAGTCGAACTGATCTTTATTGCTACTATTCGCCACTTAAGAAAGGATCCTTAAATAAAACTGTCCGAGACCAGGTTTTATGAGCCCGCGAGACTGAGCACCCCGCCAAAACCCTTGTTTTCACTAAGACCGCTGGACGCCACAACCTGCTTGAGGTCATTGTTATTTAAGAGGGAGTCTCCCTAAAACCGGTCCACTGCGTTTCGGGTCGGAAAATCAATTTCCTTTAAACTTTGCCCATGAATATATCTTAGTCCAAAAGTAATTGAAACCGCATTAGTTTTTGAAAATATTTCAAAATAAAATTTTTCGGGAGGAAAATCACTTCAGCACTCGGCGGCCAAATTTTCGCAGTGACAAAGAGTGAAAATAGGCCAAATTGCCGAGTTCACCACTTCAAAGTTTTGCACTTTCAACGATTTTTTTCACTTCCTAGGACTAAATTGGTCCTTAAATGATGTAAAGGACACAATTTTGGTCTTTCAAAAACAACTCGTGTCTACTAAATATTTTTTGATTTACACCCACCGTGCCGTACGCAGGAAATGACTCAAAAATGCATATTTTCATCCTAGCACTGTGCAAAATCCCCACATCTTCTAAACAAAATGTCTTTTCAGACCAACAAAGGGAATGTTTAAAAACATAGAAACATAAAAATATGTTGTGATTTTAACGATTTATCAGCACAGCTGATCGACGAAATGTGCCTATTTTCTGTTATGACTGTTTACAATACACGATGCAAGGTCTTAATGCAAATCCCGAATAACACAATAATTCATCAAATGTATCAAGTATTTTAAACTTTTTGTGACTTTTGACATAATAGAACATCATGCAGGAAAGGAAAGCCTTTAAGCCGAACGCATTAATACTACAGGTGTACCTGTTTACGGCGCTTGATCCGATCGAATCGTCTTCGCTGTGTACACAAAACTGATATCACATGATGGCGCCTGTCACGCATTCCTATATCTGGAATCGTTACGCAGCGAAAACACTTTTTGCTAGTCTGACTAAAACTGACAGGCAGGAAATTATCTTATCAATAGAGTATTCTATTATATTTATTGCTGTTTTCGTTGACAAGCTACAATATCAAGAATCATGCATGCATAAGTGCCCAGTGCATTAACAACAGCAACATTGTAGTTTTCCAAGAACAGGCTCCTATCCATTCAGGTTACGATTTATAAAACAATTGGTCGTCGCTATGAGCTTTCACTTTGTTTTGTTTTATGTTTGTCGTTAATGTTTTTATTTATTATTTTTTTAAATATATTTCATATTTCTGGTAGCCCGTGGTATTAAACCGACGAGTACCTGTTCTCGGTCTTATCAAGCTCCCTGACTCAGGGTGGGGTTAGGAATAGGGGTGGAGTGTGCTTGCTAGGAGGAGGTCGGCTAGACTGTTCACAGTCCTCTATTTTTCCGTAAATCGTCGGTATCAAGCACATTCTCTAACAGGTGGCCTTCTTGGTTTTAAAATGTACTGGGTTTAGCCTGGGGATGACTATGAAATCTACTCTTGGGGCAGCGGACCCAAGAAGGCCCGCACATCTGGACGATTTTACGGAAAGATAAGGGACAGTGAACAGTCTAGTGGCCTGCAAGCAAACATCCCCCTTGCTATTATCCTAGAACAAATCCTGTATCTTTGAAATTAGGTTACCCTGCATTTAAAACTGGCGTGCTGGTTTACCTCGTTTAGGGCTTTCGATTTGGACTCTATTCCTTCCGTTTCCGACTAGTAGTTTTAGCCAGGGCTAAAAGCGCCGCTCTGACTCGTTAATATACTAAAAGTTGTACCCCAGAAAAAAAAAAATTAATAAAAATCGTGTAATGCTAACCGGTGACGGCAACGAGAAATGCAATAAAAAATCAATAGGGCTTAAGAGCGAAAAAAAAAGTTTGCACGTGCAGCACATTTTTTTTGTACATTTCTTTGCCATTGTTTTGCACGACTTCAAAGTACGTGAAACGTCCTAGTTGCACGTTTTATGGAGAAAAAATCGTATATGTTCCCACGTTCCATTTTTGTTTCACTGCCGCTCATTTTAACCTTGCTGGCCGCTAACATTTGTCATTTTCTCATCGCAGCTTTGAATTTTTTTTATGTTTTTTTCTTCCGCGATGAACTTCGTCTGCTTTCTTTTTTTTCTTTTTGTTTTGTTTTGTTAGTTTCGCTCTAGCTCTTTCTCTGTTATCGGTGTCAGTGTAATGGTAGTAGGGGGAAACAGTCGAACGCACGATCACGTGATTACGAAATTTTCTCGCATCTTACAGGTTACCATTTTTTTTTTTTTCGCGCGCGCGAGAGCTTCGCTAATGCTCATTCTCTATTACGGAAAGTGGTTAATTATTAATAGTGCCATATTTTCAAATTCTTGTCCGGTTATTGCCGAAATGCACATATTAAGCTAGCGATTTTCCTGAAAGGTTGTGAATTCACAGTGAACCCGCGGAAGAAAAATGAGTAATAATAGGCAGGGTACAAACTCACCGAGGTAGAGTCGTTTTAACTTCTTCTCGCGTCTTTTCCAACAATCTTTTTCACTACACAAGAGCCCTCTACAACCATTTTAGTTATCTTTTGAAGAAGATCAGGTTTCCAGGTTCTTGTGCCAAATGAAATCCCAAGCAAATTGCTTTTGAAAGAAAAAGAGTGATTTCTGTGAGCCATCTCGCGGCATCAGAGGACGTTTGGCAGCAATTGTTTCCACAGCTTCGCTGCCATTTCTTTCTCCAGGTTCCTCATCGTCCGCTTAGTATGTATAGTCTTTTATTTTTTTTCAAAAGATTTTGTTATAAAAATACTGCGAACAAAATCGTTAAATTTTTACTTTTGAACCACTCGGCTTTGGTAAACATTCGTGTGCGATCTGCGTTGCCAGCCCTCTGCCCCTCAAGGGGCACCTCTTCAGCTCAAAAATGGTATACAAAAGGTGGGTTGGATGATCAGGCTGGAGTCTCCCAGTATAACACTTTGTTGTATACCCCACCCCCTCCGATAGGGCGGAAAGGTAAGTTCGCTAATTAGACATATTGGTGTTGTTGTTGTTGTTTTGTTTTTGCAATTCTCGTTGCCGTTGCAGGTTAGCATCACACGATTTTCTTTTTTGCTGGAGTACAACTTCAAGTATATCAACAAGAGCTGCTCTTTTAGCCCTGTCTAAATCTATATATTAGCGAGTTTGAAAGAAATCGAAAGCGCTAAACGAGGTAAACCACCATGCCACTTCACAGTCCTTAAATTCTTTACTAAGTCCTTAAATTTTCCGTAAATTCGTCGGGATCAAGCACATTCTCTAACAGGTGGCTATCTTGGTTTCAGATGTACCGGGTTTAGCCTGGGGACGATAATGATACAGATACAGTATTTGTTCTAGAATAATAGCAAGGGGGGTATTTGCTTGCAGGCCACTAGACTATTGTTAATCCCGGGGGGTACTTCCTTATAAGAGGCTACTAGGGATGTGCCGCTTGATGGGGTCGTATTTTCACGACTGGATTAACTATAATGGGGTCGCATTTTCAATAGAGGTACTAGAATGGGGTGGCACATTTTCGGATTTTTTGAGGTAAGACAGTTCTTCATATTTACGGTTAGCAAACGTACCAGAATGTTTGAACTGTAGATGAAAGGTGAAGTGTTCTTTATTCTAAAAAATGGGTCAATTCATAAAAATAGAGAGTGCCTAATTTGGGATCGCGAAAAATTACATATTTGCCCAAAAGTGGCTAAGATGGGTTCTATAATTGATTGGCCACAGAATAGACTATAATGGGGTAGGGCTCTGAGAGGGCAGCGGCACGTACATACATACATACATACCCAGCAAACCCCCCCCCTCCCCGGGTTGTTTACGCACTATAGGTTCTTATGCATGCATGATTCTTGATTTTGTAGCTTGTCAACGAAAACAGCAATAAATATAATAGACTACTCTATTGATAAGATAGTTTCCTGCCTTTCACTTTTAGTCAGACTAGCAAAAAGTGTTTTCGCGGCGTAACGATTCCAGATGTAGGAATGCGTGACAGGCGCCATCATGTGATATCAGTTTTGTGTACACAGCGAAGACGAGTCGATCGGATCAAGCGCTGTAAACAGGTACACCTGTAGTATTAATGCGTTCGGCTTAAAGGCTTTCCTTTCCTGCATGATGTTCTATTGTGTCAAAAGTCACAAAAAGTTTAAAATACTTGATACATTTGATGAATTATTGTGTTATTCGGGTTTTGCATTAAGACCTTCCATCGTGTATTGTAAACAGTCATAACAGAAAATAGGCATATTTCGTCGATCGACTGTGGTGATAAATCGTTAAAATCACAACATATTTTTATGTTTCTATGTTTTTGGACATTCCCTTTGTTGGTCTGAAAAGACATTTTGTTTAGAAGATGTGGGGATTTTGCACAGTGCTAGGATGAAAATATGCATTTTTGAGTCATTTCCTCCGTACAGCAAAGTGGGTGTAAATCAAAAAATATTTAGTAGACACGAGTTTTTTTTTGAAGGGCCAAGATTGTGTCCATTACATCATTTAAGGACCAATTTAGTCCTAGGAAGTGAAAAAAATCGTTGAAAGTGCAAAACTTTGAAGTGGTGAACTCGGCAATATGCGCCATTTTTACTCTTTGTCACCGCAAATATTTGGCCGCCGAGTGCTGAAGTGATTTTCCTCCCGAAAAATTTTATTTTGAAATATTTTCAAAAACTAATGCGGTTTCAATTACTTTTGGACTAAGATATATTCATGGGCAAAGTTTAAAGGAAATTGATTTTCCGACCCGAAACGCAGTGGACCGGTTTTAGGGAGACTCACTCTTAAGGTCTTCCCTTAAGAAACGAGAGGGAAACTGGACCGAGTTAACGTTCGCAAAGACGTCTGGGACTGTCACGGGGGACAGGGAAAAAAACAAATTGGCCAATGGCTGACCGGCGCCTTCCCCAGTAACCATCCCAGAAACAATTTGGGTGTTCCAGTCCCCTTCTTGTTTCTAAAATGGTGAATTTTTGTACATATGAAGACAGAGAAGGTATTGCAGAAGTCTCGTCTTCCCAGGCCTTCTCGGTCAATGCTAAAAAACTTGCTCGGACTAAGTGACCCGAAACGGCCGCGGCAATAATGAGGCATAGGGACTACGCAAGATTAATTACAGAATTGCTTGCTGAGTGGCAAAGCGCTCATGACCAAAACATTTTAATTTTGCTGATCAAAAGTATGGTCACCTACAAGGGAGTAAACTTATCTAAATTCAAACAATCTGTTTCTTTGTAGGTCATCACTCTCTCTCTGCATCACGATACTCGCCTTACTCCTCCTCCCCCTCGCCTCACGCACCCTACTCTCCCTCAGGACATCGGTCCACGCACCCAAAGCCACTCTGCGTTGATGTCGGCACCAACACGTCACTTCCGGGCTGCGTGAACGGCAGGTCACCTGACCTTCCCGCCAACCCCGTTACGTGGTCAGTGGAACAGGTGGTGAGATACGTGCGCTCAACAGACTGTATAAATTATGCGAATATATTTTTAGATCAGGTAATTATTTGTGAAGATTCATGTTTTTATGTTGATTTATACCCTAAAGGACTGTAAAGCACTTAAGTATTTACTGCAGTACTGTATGCAGTACTGTACACTGAAGTAAAAACTAAATGAAGTTACCCAGGGGGCTCCTGAGTTACTTTTTTGAAGAGATTTGTACATACAAATAATTCAAATTGAGGCAGACCAGCTTGCTACTTACATACGTGACTAATCCGAGGAGTTGAACTTTGGACATTTAAGATTGGAACTACTTCTTCCGAGATATATTAGGTTGAAAGGAGTGCGCATGTGGAGTAGGTGTGATTCGGGGATCCATCTTTTATTGGAGGAGTCTGGGGGCCTACCCAAGAAAATTTTTGTTCTTGCGGCGTCCCTCCTGCAAGGTGCATTTTAATCGACTAGCGACAAGAGTTTTAGCCATGAAATTGGCAACTTTATTTAGTCATGCACGTTTGGTTTGTTTTCATCAAACGATGTGGTGAGAAAAAAATACGAAAAATGTATTACTCTCTTTAACGTTTTCTATGATAAGCCGGCGTTTTTCGCTTGTCCCTTTCCCAGACCCCTTTAGCTCTTTGACACTCTTTTAGCTCACTGATATGTCACTTGTTCTTTCACAGGAAATTGACGGAAAAGCACTGATGCTTTTGTCACGTGACTCTCTTATGCAGTTTACGCGCATGAAGCTGGGACCGACTCTTAAGATGTGCAGTTACATAGCTCAACTGAAACTTCGAGCTCGATGACACGCGCGTAATAAATTTCGTGTGAAATATGACTGAAATGCACAGTGGACTGTAGTGTCTTCAGGACGGATATTTCAGACACAGAGGACTTTGTGGATAGTTATAATTTTGTATAGATTTAGAAGAGGGGGTGATCATACCTAAAGCCTAAGAGGCGCAGTGTGATTATTCAAATTCATTTCCCTCCCATGTCAGGAAAAATCTCAACACGCACATCATAAAATCTGACTGTGAAACAAGTATTACCATGTGACCGTACTGCTAAAGGGATTCTATTTTATTCAGTGGTCACACGAAATGATTAGCTTCACAAACTGAACTGACAGATTTAATAGAACCATTCTTGACGAGTGATGGAGCTTATTCGCCTCCTTTGGTAACGTTGTGGGATCATAGAGATGTAGAAAGGTGGAACGAGGGCAATACCAAATTCATCTGTATACTGTAAGAGCAAGGTCCTTTATGTTTGAAGACGTAAGGGGCTTCAGTAGAAGAGATACTACAAACTGAACCGATGAAGAGTGAATTGAAAAGAAAAAAACATGTCCTGTTTTGTTTTACCAGAGGTTCACTCTAAAAAGAACGCTCTTTCTTCTTGATGGGGTAGTTCCTCCCCCTCCGTGAGCATGAAGAGCCATAAAAACAGCAAGAAAACTCTTTACAGCGCCCGTATAAAAATTATAATTCCTGTCATTCGTAGCCTGCACAGTAGGTGTTGGTGTAGGTGTTGGGAGCGAGGAATAATTCTTCGATTGCTCTACCATCACTTTGCATGAATAAACTGACAGGGGTGCAGATAACGCTGAAAAGCTTGTTCAATTTTCAGAGGAACTGTGAATGAAGACAACTGGCGATCAAGATAACAAAATAAGAATCAGATAGGAATAAATATATAAATAAACATAGAAGAATCCCGAAGTTCAAAGGAAAAAAGGGCACCGTGACAAAGACCAGCAGGTTTCCTTTGAGTTTCCATTTGTCATTACGTTTCTTTTCCAAAACTCTGTTATATTCTGTTTTAGTATATACTAAATAACAATTATTCACCTCAGTGTCGGTGGCTAGTGGGGGTTATTTACCTCGACGCCTCGCGGCCTCGGTAAATAACACCACTAGCCACCTCCACTGCGGTGAATAATTGTTATTTATCCGAATTTTACATGCAACGTTACTGTTTATGTTTACTACACTGAAGAGTGATAGTTTTTGTTTAGTTTACAGCTTTTTTGAGAAAGGTTGTTGGAAAAAGTGCACGCGACAATCCCAATTTCAAAGAAATTTGAAAGAATAGTAGGAGAGGCCGTGGACATATGTCTGCGAGTGCTAAAGGAAAGCAAAAAAAGTAGGTTCGACAGCTGCAGTGTCAGGAACGGTGTGTATTGGTCATAACCCATATTATCTTTCGGAATTGTCGCGTGCAAATTTTTCCGACAACCTTTCTCGAAATAGCTCTATACTTTAATTTGTCTTTCTTGGACAAATCTTGTCGGACAATATACAATGAAGGAAGTTAATACAATTATAGGAATTATTATCGAGGCGTGCTGTGCGCCAATCATACTTGTAAGTGTATTCATTCATACGTTAGATAACATTTTGATACTTCCGAAATATTAGAGAGTATAAATTGTATTTTAAATAAAAGTAATTTTTGTGACTTTGTAAATGAGTGTTCTCGAAAACGATCACAGAAACGAATGAGATACAAAAAGTCGGAAGAAGAGCCCGGGGAAAGGGTGGGCCTTTTCTCCATTTTTCCTGAGACCCTACCTTATTTCAGATCAAAATACCCCTATGCATCTGTCTCTAAGCCACCCTATTTCAGACTTGAACAGCTATTCTCAGGAGACAAATGATGAAAAAAACAAGAGCAAATCCTACTCTCTCAGACAGCACAAAGCCCTACCTTGTTTCACAAAAGGGAAAAATCGATAACCAATTTCTTACCTTTTGCCTGTCAAAAGTAGGTAGAATATATAGTTTGTATAAATTAAGGAGTTCCCCTCCTCCCCCCGCTCCGCCCGTCCCCAGGCCCTTTAAGGTCTATGAGCCCGCGATAACACAAGGTGCAACATTTGTTAATCAAAACGTTTCCCCTCTCGTTCGACAAATGTGCGACGCTTGGAAAGTCCAAGGTGCCAAAGGGTTTTTTTTTCCTACTTCCTGATGGAAATAAGACAGTCGGGGGCGACGCCCTGAGGAAAAAACTGAGGGCACGGTTTATCTCACGCTAGATATTTTGGGAACGGACCTCTCCAGAGCTCTGGAGTCGAGGTACGTTTGGTAGGAGTGGGCCTAGCCTGAGATCATGCCCTCTCCCTATTATCCCTTTTATACTCTCACGGGAAAAATTTAACTCCACAAAATGGGAGATTTGGCGACATAAAAATTGATTAGACTCACGAAGAAGCCCAAGCATGTTAGAAAATCAGCTGAAGAAACTAAAAAGAGGAAGAAAAATCCCCCATCACTTCAAGACCGAATGGCGCGAACTATTTAACTATTGAGCCGATCGTGCAAAGAGGGTATGTCCAGCAGTTTCAAAGATTCAAATAATCATATATGAGGTACTTACCACAAAAGAAAGATGGCGGACGGTGAGTAAGCATAGGATCGTTTTCTCTTCCAATAGAAATTCATATGGCCTCTAAAAATTGCTATTATGTTTTATAACCACACAGAATTACGAAATTGCGTCCAGTTTCGTTGGCTTCACGAATAGTTCCTGTTTGAGGTGCTGCATTAAGGTTTCTTTGATTTTTCTTGCTAATTTCAGGTCAGCCGGAACAATCTTTAGAAGAAGTGTTAAGATCTATCAAACACGTGATACTGGTTCTATCTGGCAAAGGGGGAGTTGGTAAAAGCACTGTAACTACCCAGATTGCATGGACTCTTTACCATCATGGGAAAAAGGTTTTTGTTTTTGTTATTGTTGTTGGAAAAGTAGTAACATAAACAAGGACAACCAAGCTTGACTGCAAGCCATGTCTCAAATAATTTGCCTGATATTACTGATAAGATGAGTAAAAACTTGCAAGAAGAGCAGTTCAGGTGGAAAAGAGAACAAGAAAATACTGTGGAACCCTCCAAGTTAAATTTTTCCTTTGGTGGCCATTTGGCGACCACCTTTTTAGGTTTAGTCGCCAAAGGATTTTTCTAGCCACCAAAATATACATCAATAATTAAAGTTTTAATAATTGGTTGATAATTAATTGGGGCTTAAGAATGGTATTGTTCAGCCAAAACAATGTTTCTAAATGCCATTTACCGTATTCACCAGTGTATACGGTAACTTATAATCCATGTCGAGTAACATCCATGTCGTTTCCTCTAGTATCAGTTTTCTCTGGTCGCCAACTTGGTGAGTATTTACTGAATCAAGTCACCAGTACCAAAATTTTAGTCGCCATGGCACAAAAAGTGGTTGCAGCTTGGAGGGTTGTTAAAATGAGTTAGCACGTTTCTTCAATAGGAAGTTATTTTGAACCTAAAACCTCTCAAAAAAGGGATCCATTTTTTGTAGGGCTTAGTGGTATATATCCACTCTGTAAATAGTTGCCAGAGTTCCCTTTCTCCGGGTGATCCCTATTTGACTGATAGTTAATCTGACCATTTTGATGGCTCATCCATCTGCAGTACAAGTTACCCAGTTGACACAAAGAGTTCAAAAAATTCTCCCATTCAGTCATCTGGGATAGGTAGAGATATTCTTGCTGGGCAAGTAACTTTGTTAGCTTGCTTACCTAATGGGCAAGGGCTTATGCAAGTCATCTTGTAAATACATGTAAAGCATTTACTAGGACAAACAAGCAGTGATCCCAGGCAAGCAAGATGTGATAGCTGCTTGCCTGAAGGACATGGTGAAAATAACAGTTTTGCTAACGGCTTGAACGCTTTCCCAAGTCGTTTTAGCGCTTAGTTAACAGGTTCTTAACACTTTAAGCCGTTGAACGGTAAACCGTTAGTGTACGTTTTCCTGGAGAAGGTCACATATACCAATTTTGTTAAATTCCTGGTTCAATTCATAAAGCCTTTTTTGCTTTAATCATCTTTCAGGTTGGTATTTTGGATGTTGATTTATGTGGACCAAGCATTCCAAGAATGATGAATGTAGAAGAGAAAGATGTACACCAGTGTTCTGCTGGGTGAGTGATAAATAACTTCCTAGTAATTTTGTAGCGGAAAAAAAATGAAGTACAAACCTAGCCTTGGTGAACGAAGACTAGAAAAATTGACGGTGAATCTGGGAATCATTTCATCCAGTCTTGCAATCTCTAAGGAGTATTAAATTGTGATGAGTTAGGCAAGTTTGTTTCATGTTTGTGTTAACTGTTCTAAGTTGTAGGATTTTCAAACAATCATTTGGCCATTGTTTTGAATTAAACCATTTTCTACCTGTAAAATAAATAATAATGTGCTTATCACCAGCCTGAGCTTAATATTCATCACCTAGCCTGTACCAGGCTCTTGGTCAGTGGTCATTTGGCCAGTGTTTTGAATTAAACCATTTGCTGTACCTGTAAAGTTAATAATAATGTGCTAATCACAAGGCTGAGCTTAATGTTCATCAACTAGCCTGTACCAGGCTCTTGGTCAGTGCAGAGAAGCAAAAAAACAGGCAAGCAGCGAAACAGCGAGCGAGTGAAAAATTGTCTCCTTGCAAATGTGTGCTAATAAAATTGTAAGGAGAAAATGCTGAAGATGTGATTGACCATATTTTCTTTAATTCGGTTGCATCATAAATGTCATTTGGCCTTAATTTCTTTTAAATTCATTTCAGATGGGTTCCAGTTTATACAGACAAGGATCAACGACTAGCCGTCATGTCAATAGGATTTTTATTAAATAGCAGAGATGATTGTGTAGTGTGGAGGGGGCCAAAGAAAAATGGTATAAATTTGTATTCTTATTAACTTTCTTTGACTCATATTTCAACCTGTTTTTACTCTATGGGCAAGCTTTAAGTAGAATTCTCTTGGTTTTTAAACTCTGCAAATATATGTTTTTTATAGCTTTATTATTATAACGTCTATTTGTGGCTTTCTGTTCTCCTCTTTTTTGTATTCTTTTTAATTTTGCTGGGCTTTTACTTGGCTTAATTTATGTAGGAAGCACCAGAGGGTAGCAAGTTAGATCAATTTTCTCTTTCACCAGTCAAAGCAACATGAGTTTTTGCAATTATGCACTGTCCCTTAAACTAAAGGAATCAGTCACATTTGGGCATGGTTCAAAAGATCTTTTTATCCTTCATGAATCATAAAGACTGTCCATGTAAAAGTGTACATAATGTTAAAGATAAACCAGTGATAATAATGGTCATGAGGGTCTAAAACACTTTCTTTTCTTAGTTTTGTAGTTAATTATTTTTATAATCATTTTACTGTGTAGCAATGATCAAGCAGTTTTTATCAGATGTGTGTTGGGGTGAGCTGGATTACTTAATTATTGATACACCTCCAGGTAAGATTTTTTTTTTTATCAATAATTAACTTACAGTGTAAAGGAAAATATGTCTAGCAAATCAAAGAATAACTACCTACATGTAACAACTGCCAAAATTAATGTAGCTTTAGTTACATGAATGAAAGAACTGAGACCAAACTTCTTGCAGTGTACATGTATTTTATTTTTCTTGTTACATGTAATTGGTACTATGCCAATTTAATTGTATATAGCAGTGCTGGATCCTTCACAGCGGTCAAACGAGTGAAATTTGCAAAAGTTAAGCGAAGTACTTCAAAGTTAAGGTTGCTACTTTCACTATCGAAAGTTTAGGGTATTACCAACATCCTGTTAGTTTACTAAACTTTTTAAAAGTTTCCTACAAAAGTTCTAAGTGATTGAAAACTGATGCTGACGTTATTATCGGCACCATTTTTAAAACATGATTCTCTTTTAGCGAGAAGCGTTTTCAGCGAAAAAAGCTCAAAATTTTGAGAAAAATGGAAAGATAGTTATGTTGACTAACTGATTTATACATCTTTGCCCATTTTTCTCTAACTGATAAATGAAATCCCAGGGATAAAAAACAAAAATAACGATTTAGACGTTTGACCGCGGTGGTGCTGGATCCAGACCTTGAGATAAGGGGGGAGGGGTGGTCATCCCAACCCTTAGATAAAGGGGGGGAGGGGGGGCTATCCCCCCAAACATTTTTTCGGCCCTTTCAGCCTCACTTTGGTCTGAAAATAAGGGGGGCCTCAGGCCCCTCCCCTGGATCTGCCACTGCTTAGAGCCATGTTTGTTGTTGGACCGTTTTTAATGTTTTTAACTCCAGGGACATCTGATGAGCACATAACAGTCGTGGAAAATCTTAGGCATTACAACCCAGATGGAGCCATTCTTGTCACTACTCCTCAGGTATAAGCCAGCTCTTTCTGTAGTTTTTATTTCAGTCTAGTTGAAATAATCAACTTGAAAACACAGGCCATCTGATAGGAAATTGTGCGATTCTTTCAGGGCTAATTAACATTGTTTTACCAGGTTTCAAAGGAGAAAAATCACTTGAATGTTGTTTAACAGGCAATTTAAATGGCAAAGAATAAACAAAATAGTTAAATTTACATGATGCCATTACACCAGTGACCCCCAGATTTGATAGTTTATGATCATTTGTGGCAAGCAGTGATTAAACTGCACATCTATGTAGCAACATGAGCAGTACATGACAAATGAAAATAATGCTAAAAAGATATTAATTTTGACTTGAAATGGTAACACAACTTCTTGTAATACAGAGGTTTTCTTCATGGCCCACAAAATAAAGATAGAAACAAACTAAATATTAATTAATAGTACAAGTAAGAATCACAACTGCATGGAGGCAAAGCAGTTGGTTATTTACAAGCTATAATCAAACAGTTGAACTCAGGACCCTTTCAGCTAGGGTTATGATAGGGTTTGAGGTACTCAGGGCCTTCCGATTGTATGTCCAGTATTCTAACCGCTTAGCTATGCTGTCTCAACTTATAAAGTCATTTTTTTAAAAAAAATCTTACTCAGTTTATTCAGTTTTCAAATTAGACACTGACAGTGTCTTAAAAATGGCAAAAATAATAATAACAAGTGAAATTGCTGAGTTTTCTGACAGTTAGGCGATCTCTGTGGTCTCCACATTGCTCAGTTCAACTTTCAGCTTCTAATTTAAATAATTAGTAAGCTTGTACCTAATTTAAGCTGATTTGAAGCAACATGTAAAGCAGTTGATATTATGCACATTTGTATCCAAGTTATAAAAATCATTTTTTTTTCGAACTTGTTTGAGCCTAGATAGAGATACTTAATACTCACTAGATACTAGATAGAGATTCTAGCACAGGGGCCCCACTCACATATTTCAATGACGGGGGGGTCCGAAGGATTTTTTTGGGTCTGACATTTTGGCCAAAAGGGATTTTTGTGGGTCTATGAAAGACGCCGGGATTTTTTTGGTCTCGAAAACAACAGAGGGATTTTTTGGGGTATTGTATTTTTCATCAGCTCAAATCAAAAATAACATAAGCGCAATTTATAGTTTTGTTTTTGACCAAAACCAAAGTTGAAGTTGGCATGTTTTAGCTTTCCAGAAGATAAATAATAAAATTTGCTGATGCAAAAACACTGAGGGATTTTTTGGGGTATGCTAAAAAAAGTAGGGATTTTTTTGGGTAGACAAATTCTGAAGTTGGGATTTTTTGGGGTATAAAATATGAACCTCTGTCGGACCCCCCCGTCATTAAAATATGTGAGTGGGGCCCCTGGGGATTCTAGATAGAGATACTTAAAGGTGATGTTACACATGACGATTGGCAACAACGATTTTGAGCGCAACACAGTGTGGCAATGTTGCAACCATTCGAACCAATGTTGTAATGCTGTGTTACGCTAAAAATCGTCGTTCCAAATCGTCCCGTGTAACATCACCTTAATAGACTGAGATACTTAATACTTGATACTTAATGTGGTTTTTAAAACACTTATCATTCAAAATATTGTCATTCTTGATCTCCAGGGTGTTGCCGTGTCTGACGTCAGAAGAGAAATTTCCTTCTGTAAAAAAACAAAAATTCCAGTCTTGGGCGTGGTTGAAAACATGAGTGGATTTGTCTGTCCTCATTGTAGTGTAAGTTGCCCAGGCAGAGAATTAGTTGACAAAATCATAATTGAATTCAGTGTAGAGCATGGCAAGAGATGAAGTGCAGTACTGTACATAGATAATATAAGCAACCACTCAACATTTAAAGATTTAGTGGTTGCTTATGGGAGGTTGTTGCTTTATACAATAATCAAACAACATGCCTGGGATCTTTTCTGATTATGTCCCAACACAACTTCTTTTTGCCAGAAAATTAATTGCTAAGTGCACCTTTTTTATAGCTCCATGTTTACTGAGAGCTGTTCCCAACTTCATTTAATGTTCTGAGTATTGCAGTTAAACACGAGCAAGCATAGAGATCAGACCATACATCTATGGATGGCCAAATGGTGCAAAATTTAAGACACAATATTGGCCTCATGTTCAAAAATTTCTCATCAATTACCTTGATAAGAACCTTTTTGAAAGTGAACCCAATTCTGCTTAGAACTTAAGTTTTGACGTACCATTTGGCATTCCATATGCATCAAGCAGTTGCTTATATGCAATTAAAAACAATGGAATATTATGGAACCTTCTAATTTCCAGATCGAGATAAGGATAGAGATAGCTGACTTTTTTTATTATTGCAGGAATGTACAAATGTGTTTTCTAAAGGAGGAGGAGAGGCTCTAGCAAAAACTTGTGATGTTCCATTCTTAGGTAACAGCACCTTCAAAATATTATTAGAGTGGAGCCTCTTTTCTGGAGACAACTTTTGGATTGGGACGAGTGTCCCCTGAATGGAGATGTCTCTTTAATAGAGTTAAATGATGCAAAGATTATATGTAGTGGAGCCGTCATTCAGGGGACACCCTCAGGACCAGGAAAAGTGTCCCCTGAATGGAGATGTCCCCTCAATAGAGGCAACTGCAAAATGGAACCTCCATTCAGGGAACACCCCCAGGACCAGGAAAAGTGTCCCCTGAATGGAGATGTCCCCTCAATAGAGGGAAATGCTAAGTGCAAAAGATGCAAATTAAAGTGGAACCTCCATTCTAGAGGTGACTGTAAAGTGCAAACCTCCATTCAGGGGACACCCTCAGAACCCGGAGAAGTGGTCACGAATGTGGCCTAAGCTCAGGTCCCAAAGTCAGCACCATATGTGGGTTGAGTTTGTTGTTGGTTCTTATCCTTGCTCTAAGATATTTCTCCATATAATCTGGCTTTCCCTTGTCCTAAAAAAACCCAACATTTCCAAATTTTTAATTCAGTCTGGAACACACTAGCCTTTTGAAATGAGCTTTTGAGGTATCCTAAGTATTTTGTTGGTAAAAAAATACACTTACATACCTTTTCAGGCACAGATCCAACTGGTTTCCATCGTATTACAGAAATCGTTCAGATTTTTTATGATAAATGTATTTTTAGTAGAAAACTTTAAACTTTCCAGGTGGCAATCTGGAAAATGGTTGGGACAGTCAGAAAATATCCTGTCTGAATGAGTCAGCACCTAGGAAAGGGGAATTTGGGGAGTTAAAATGCAAAAAATTTCCAGGGGGAGCATGCCCCAGGCAGACCTCCCTAGAAGTAAGAAATCAGTCAGTATTTATTCTAGATCCGCACCTGGTTTTACATGGCAAACTGGCCTTCCCTTACGCTGTCTTAGTGACCCACTGATCATTTTTTTTTCTGTTTTATCTTTATCTTTACATTTTAGGTTCCATTCCACTGGATCCAAGTCTAGCACAGTCATTAGAGGAAGGAAAATCATTCATGGACCTTTTTCCCAACTCACCAACCCTCAGTGCACTAAGCGAAATCACAAACAAACTGTTAGAAATGGATAAGAGTGTGAATACATAAATGAATATCATTAGTGGTAAAAACACGCAAAGCTAATTCAATAAAAAAAGTGGATGAGCAAAGCTCTAAAATCAAATGCCACAGCGGCATAAAAACCACCTAAGAGCTTTTATTACTAGAACCCTCTGTTAGAACATGCTCTGTGGTTGGGGAACTTGGCAATTTAGCAGTGGCAGATCCAGGGGAGGGGCGGGGGGGGGCCTGCCCCCCCCCCACTTATCTAAGGGTTTGGATGACCCCCCCCCCCCCCTTTCTCAAGATCTGGATCCGGCACTGTTTAGTGGTTGATATCAAATGTTCTCAAACTCATTAATAATAATTTAATAAAGAAAATACAAAGGTTGATTATGTTTAACAAGTGTTTGGAAATCGGATGACTCATTTTGTTTGAGAAGTAATATCGAGCATTCGACACAGTGTTTCATCACCAGATGAAACACCTCGAAGATTGTCAAAAATACTCTCCCGGGAAACATCCCTAGCAGCGAGAAGCGAGAGAAGACGGCTTTACCCATAGCCGGCTGGGCTCCTGTCGTAGGCTATTTTTGTCTCGAAGGGCGTCACGCTCTGTTTATCGCGTGACGACATAATAGCGAAAAATATTACGTCACGAACGCACAAAATGATACTGGGTTCTTGAATTTCATTCGTTTCGCGTGCACAAGTTCCCGACGAGCACACTTGACAAAGGATTCTCGAGGAGTACGTGATTATTGTTATAAACAGAGTCCTGGAAACAGTAAGTACTTTCGTTACGAAGTACACTTAACATTTACTGTCGATGCAAACGGCGTTTGGGGTTTTTCAAAACAGTTACAACTAGCAGAACACCACAGTACACCGATTTGGACGACAGAAATTTGCCAGCTTCGTGATACATTCTATACTTTAACGGATTTAATTTCTCATCCAGTGATCATTATCGATGGTATTTCTCTTTTTACGGACTTGATGCAAAAATGCTCAAACAAAAGTTAAGAGGCTACAAACAACATCGCCCAACGGTTGTCTACTTGTCTACTTGCTGTGTCGAACAGTGCTGTCTGATACGGACCGCGCCCGAAAATTTACGAATATACTCCTATCAAAAGTGGAGTTATATTTTGCAATATATTATTATATCATGTTCAAAATATTCCCCAGCAAACCGCAGGAAAGATACCTGTTGTGCCACGAGTTCCCATTTTTATTATGCAACAGATCGTTTTATGTTTGCAATTCAATTTTATGGCTATTAGTGTATTTTATCAGCAAACCGCAAAATTCGTCGCGACGTTAAGTTGCCCTCTGCTATGCGGAATCTGCCACCGTAACGAATCTAAGAACGCCCTTCAAGAATAAAATCACTTCCCGTTAATCTGCAACAATCAATTTATGTAACTCATGAAGCAGAGTTCAGCACGTGCGGTGGTGTTGCGTGACTTACGGAACCCCTGGATCCCTCCTCTGTATACGCCCCTGCTTACTAAATGCCTTGACCAGTAGTTTAAAAAGGTATAAAAACTTTCTTATATTAAAAAAGTACTGGTAAAAGAAATTTGAAAACAGTTAAAAACAGGAGTGGTGAACCGCAGTGCGACTTGATTAAAGTTGAACCACCTGACACCGGACGAAAACAGTGAATAGTCATTCAGTGATTTTTTAATCCTCTGTAACATCACGATCCACCACAGTTGTAAGAGAGAAGTAAATTTGCTCTATAAAAGCGTGAAAATACACCCGTTTTTTTAGAGACATTATATGATCTTCTTGCTGCTCCTAAGTAAGCAACATTGATTGGTTCGATGTCAGGGGTACGTGTGTGTGGCATTGAGTTTTGTATAAAAAAAATACAATAAGGGGTAGTGCTCTTTTTGTCTTAGTATTAACAAAAGCTGTGTCATGGGGATGTGGCAGTTTTGGCAGAAATGACACCCCATAGTTAAGTGGCTGGGTAATTTAAAATCCAACCATAAATGGAAAGGTATATGCAACTCGCCATTGTCAAAGATTGGAAAACAACAGTTTAATCCTAACTGAAAGCAGTTCTGTCTGACATGATAGTCAAGAAGCACACCAACGAGCATCACGTTTTGTTTACAGCTCTGAAATTTGCATAGTGTAAGAGAAGTAAATGGGGACTGGACCCTGGTCTCTTGACTCTCAAATTTAGACTCTGGTCTGTTTAAGTTAACACTTAGTTGATAACAAATGAAGATTTTGACTCCCGAAGGATGTAAGTATTTTATCGTAACATTGATTGTTGTGGTTTTTGGCTAGTGATATGTTAGAAGTAAGAAGAACCTGATAACTTCAAATTACAATTACTAGGACCCCATGGGTACGTTCTTTCAATGACAGATTAAGAGAATTCATCTAACCCCGCGTATGAAAAAAGAACATAAAACCTATCTATAATCGAGTGATCGTAATTTTGCTTTGTTTCACCTTTTTGTTTACCTAAGAAACAGTGACTGAAGTCCAGAGTCCAGCGTCCAGTCCAGATTTTAAGCTACGCTACGAGAGGCCAAAGTTCTTGCTTTCCACGTGTCTTTTACGTGTGTGTTGCCCTGAATATAAAGAATAATCAATAAGAGCTGAGCCATTTCGGGTCAGTGATTCTTTGATTGTTATTCCAGACAGAACCTTGACAGAACCTTGCAAAAGGTTAGTAACATGTGTTGTTGTAAATTTTGAAATTTAGCTCTTTCGATGTAAATTGCGTTAAGATCTAGCGACCAAGTCACCGATCCTCATTAAATGGCTTTAATCGTGGTGTCGCTTGGAACAAATCCACCCGCAAAAGATTTATGAATTTCAATTTTGAAATATCGTCATACTGTATTTTACAGAAAAGGAGTTTTTATATTCTTACCATTTTAATATTCTCTGGCAACCTGTGCATGGACAAGATACATGTCAAGCTGCATGTTCAATTGTCCTTTTTCTCTTTATTATTCATTTACATTCTAATCAGCAACGTGTAAATATATTGTTGACCACCCTTCATAAACTGAATTGTTACATCCGTCAATCGAATAAACCAGATGCAGCCCCTCTTTAGTCCAGTTAGTCCGTCGATCGAAACGATGCTTCGTGTACATTCTTATCAGTATCATGTAAATATTGTTAAACACCCTCCATAAACTGAATTATTACATCCGTTAAACGAATAAACCACATGCAGCCCCGCTTTATAGTCCAGTTAGTCCGTCGAGCGAAACGCAGGTAATCGCGGAAAAGCATGTCTCAGATGGGTTGCTGATGCCGCTTTGATTTCAAAGTAAGAATTAAGTTCGACGAAAGAACGGCAGAAGCGTGGCGTTTAAACTGGGCGGAAAAGTGCCCCGTTGAAGAAAAACAAAAGGCTGCTGGCAGTTCATTAAAGGAACTTTCTTAAAGAGTAAACGTAATCCCCCGGGCATTAGCACTGTTTTCTTCTTGGATGCCAAATTCCCTGCGGCAGTGATGGGTGGGGACGAAAAGAGGAGGTGCCCCACCCCAGGTCGTGTCCAATCAACACGTCACTGCAGCAGTTTTTTTCATTGCACGGTAAAGTAGTGCCATTTTCAGCATTTTAGTGAGCGATTTTTCGTTGTTAGGTACGTCATCCTCTCCCTCTATTAATTAAATGTTCGTTATAGCACTAACCATTAACAAAGACATCAACGCAAACACCAGCTTGTGATTCTCATTTCATTATTGTTGTTTATCTTGTTTTGACTGTCTCGTTGGTAAAAAAAATTCTCATTGAATAGTCTGTTGTAATGTCAGCTGTTTTGAATATTGTCCTCACTAAAGTTTTTTCAAATCCTTAATCATTCATCAGAAGATTGATTCATGTCGCTATAACACTTCTGGCTTGATGAGCAATAAAATGAAATGGCCATAAAATCGAGAAAACAAAAAATTAAAACCTTTACAAGTTTTTCTAGTCCTTGACAAACGAGCTGATCTGCTTGCCTTTTCCTATAAATTCTCCGTATGTGGTTTGATGTTTGGATTTCGAGTCAGTATCCCTGTGCTTGTGAAAAGCCCGGGGTAGCCCCGGGTTGGCAAATGCCCGACCCTCGGGTAGCTCAAAATTTGCGAGTACCAGACCAAGGCGCCCAAATGTCACGCACCTGCCGGGGTTGTGCGCAGCAGCTTGTATTTCATGTTAACCGTGTATCCTGTATTTGCGGCAGTTACAAGATCACGTGTTATTACTCATTTTACATTTTTAAAAGCAGTATAGTGTTGATATTGTTGTAGACATTAGCCAGCCCGCAAGCGAACAGCGAAAAAGCGCACTAGCAAAACCGCGAGGGGTGGGAAAGATGTCGCGTGACCTTTCGCGATATCCCCCAAGTGGAGAACTTGCTTGTAGGTTATTAAAGTAAACACTATTTATTCCTACGTGACCTAAGGAAACCTAGGGTCGCGTCGGTCTCTTCAAGAGTAAGTCAAGTACTACTATTATTGGTTGTCGGACGTGCCACAATACATGTAAACAACGTTATATACTTGATGTTTTTTTAATGGAACATGCAACAGTCTGTGATAGCTGGTCAAATGTTGGGGTTACGAATTTTGGCTTAGTTCTGAAAATAGGGTCGCAAAACGCACTTACTTATAAACTTAACGAAATCACGACTTCGTGTCAAACAAATATGTTTCCAAAGTTCAAACGTGACAAACGGCAAAAGTGAACTTTGAAAAACTGTAAGGCTAACAATCTTTCTCCCTTCCTTCCGTAATGAAACCCAAGAGAGCACAACGAACACAAGTTTCTCCGTTGAGATTCGTATTTCACTGAGCTACAATTCTTGAACTCCGCTAAAAATATATATAATGGATTGCAAATGGTGCAGATCGGCCTTCGCTTGCCTTCATCCTTAATTTCGGGGGCGTTGGAGGTTTGCTGTTCCACTTTAATCTGTTTGTTCCACTTTAATCTTGTTGATAGTTTGTTTGTTTGTTTTTTCTTCCTTTCAAATCGGTTTTCAGCTCTTATCGCGGAAACCTCACACCGACTCGAAGCGCTCGAAAAACCGATTTGAAAAACAAACAAACACGTCAAACGCGCGCGTCTCTCTCCAGTCTCACTCTCCGTTTTTAGCACCGCTCTGGCGGAGGGTTCAATTTGATAAAACTTTTACAAGTGTAATTTCTAAGAGCGGCTATTATCTTTTATTAAATTGACCTCTGGACTATCCTTTGACTGTTCGCGCGTCCTTGACCTACGCAAAAATACGGACTATTTCGTAGTCAATAAGCTAACCGAATATTGGGATAAATACTTCATATCTCGCTTTACGGTTTTCGGAAATTATGAACATATTACTAATTGTGTCATTTTGTTCTGTAGCAAAATGGAAGAGTTCAGGTCACCTGAAGAGTTCATGTACTACGTGAAGAAAAAGAATCCTGGAGAAGACGAATTTCACCAAGCAGTAGAGGAAGTTGTCAGGTCAGTGTGGGGATTTATTGAAGAGAATCCTGTATATAAGCAACAAAGCATCCTGAAAAGATTGGTAGAGCCAGAGAGGGTAATAATCTTCAGAGTTCCTTGGAGAGATGATAAAGGCAACATACAAGTCAACCGTGGATTCCGAGTGCAGTTCAACTCTGCCCTCGGCCCTTACAAGGGTGGTCTTCGTTTCCATCCCACAGTGAATCTAGGAATTTTGAAATTCTTAGGTTTCGAGCAGATCCTCAAGAACAGCCTCACAACTCTCCCCATGGGTGGAGGCAAAGGTGGCTCTGATTTTGATCCCAAGGGAAAAACTGACAGCGAGGTGATGAGTTTCTGTCAATCATTTATGACGGAACTACAGAGGCACGTTGGTCCGAACACAGATGTTCCTGCTGGGGACATTGGAGTAGGGGGCCGGGAGATTGGATACCTTTTCGGACAGTACAAGCGGATCCGAAACGAGTTTACTGGTGTGCTGACAGGAAAAGGAATAGGCTGGGGCGGAAGCTTGCTTCGTCCAGAAGCTACTGGGTATGGCCTCCTGTATCTAGTTCAGGAGATGCTCAACTCCAGTGGAGACAGCATCAAGGGTAAACTTGTCGCCATTTCCGGCTCTGGAAATGTTGCCCAGTTCGCGTGCGAGAAAGCCACTCAACTCGGCGCCAAGGTAATCACACTGTCAGATTCAAATGGAACCATTCACGATCCTGATGGCATCACGGCGGAGAAACTGGCATACGTGCTTGAGCTGAAGAATGTCAAACGAGGGCGCATCCGTGAGTACGCTGAGAAATACGGCGTGACTTACTTCGAAGGAAAGAACCCGTGGTCCATAAAGTGCGACGTGGCTCTTCCTTGTGCCACACAGAACGAAGTTGGCAAGGAGGACGCTGAAGAGCTGGTGAAAAATGGGTGCATCTTGGTAGCAGAGGGTGCTAACATGCCGACCAAGCCAGAAGCAGTGCGAGTGTTTCAGGAGAGCAAGGTTTTGTTCGCTCCTGGAAAAGCATCCAACGCTGGGGGCGTGGCAGTATCCGGTTTGGAGATGAGCCAAAACAGCTTGCGAACGGCTTGGACAAGAGAGGAAGTGGATGAAAAATTGCAGCAGATTATGAAGGCGATTGACCATCAGTGTGTCAAGTACGGGAAGCTCCCAGACGGGTCTGTTGATTACGTAAAAGGAGCCAATATCGGTGGTTTCGTCAAGGTTGCTCAAGCAATGATTGACCAGGGACTGGTTTAGAATAAGTGAAAACAAATCCTGTGATTCGTCAAAGTAGGTCAAACAATGATTAAGAAAGGACTGGTTTAAAATTGCTATTAAAGTTTGGTTTCCATATCTGCATTTGCAAAACCCTCTTGGGGGAATTCTCACGTTAAAAAGACGGGGATGCTCGTCGTCTCACTCACGCGTGTAAACTGTAGGGTTTGGTCTATTTTTTAGGGTGTTTAGCCATACAGGTATCGCTTAGGGTTGCACATAAAAATATCCATAGAACAAACTAAGCCCATATTACTGTGTTGAAGACAGCATTCAATGTCAAAATCTTTAGCGCGGTTAAAATCATGGTGGTTTCTATATGTTTGTCTCTCTGTTTTAGTACAGTCTCAAAAAAGTTTGGGCAACGCCCAGATTGGTCTTCTAATTCTGATTTTCCAACTAGTATCTCCATCCGTTTCGTATTGGAGTCTCCCCCGTGTCGAAGGGCAACGTCGCAAAAAGGAGAAATAGAAAGTTTATGATGAGAGCCATGAGGCTGACATCCTATCGTCTCTGAGCTTCCGAACTTTTTTTCCATATATACGTCTTAGCGTGCTCGCTGCAGTCGCCGATTAGTTATAGGCTCGGCGATTTCAGTCGCTCTGTCTCGTACGGTCTTAGTTCCTCCCCGATAAGAGAGTGATTCTAAAGGAGGAAAGCGAGAACGACTAACATTAACAGTATGTGATAGTATTTAAATATAGATATCGCTTTGCAGTGAAACATTTTGTAGGTTTAGCACGAACTGGAGTGTGAAAGGAGTTAAACCTGAAGATGTATATTGGAATATACGAAACGTAACGTTAAAATTTTATTTTATTTTTTTTCTTTTCTTTTACAAAAATGCGTTTTTTCCTTATGGATATCATAGGAGTTATTCTTATCAAGGGGGAAGAGAGACCCTGCAAACGAGGGACCAACCTGGAGTCGTCACTCTCTCAAACGTTTTGCGAACAATCCAACGTTGCGTTGGTGCTACGCACATATGGAAACTAGGCTTTCACCTATTGGGATGACTATCATTGTTAATTTTGACTTTTGGTGTGATTTTTGCTGTTGTACTTTTTTAGAGTTTAATTATCTTAGAATTGTCCTGTTCTGGAAAATGTCACGGAAAATGTTTGCTCTGAGTCAGTAAAAAGTCAGAAAATTCTATGTTTTCAGGCTGCTATAGGGCTTTGGAAACTCAAATTTTCAAAGAATAGTCCGTGAAAAACAAGGAGAACGAAAAACTAAACATAGAATAATGAAGAAGAACATTTTAGAACTAAGGTCGGGAAAATTGTTCAGAGGTCCTGTAAAGTCAGAGGTTTTTTTTTCGTTTCATTTAAGTGGCAGCCCTGATTTGAGACAGGCTCGATTTACAATGACTGAAGACTTAAGATAAACCCGTGCTAAACGGGACAAGAATTATCGGTGGAAATCAATATGAAAGAACATAGGATTATCCGTTTGTCGCTGTTGTTGTGTGATACTTTTTCTCTAAACAATTTTAAATGAAGTCGACAACCTTTCGCGTCGTATAAGTTGTAAAAGAGTCGACTAAGATTACTGATCTATTAATAAATCCTCTTTTTCAATCGTGTATTGTCAACAATACGGTGCAGTTTAGTCTCGGAGTTTTAATAGTAGAGCTGGGTGGGACTATTGGTCACTAACTGTGCATTTAATGTAAAAGAAAATCAGATTGGTTTAATAAAGTAGACACCTAACCATGGGAAATTGATAGGAGGTTGTGAATGGGGGTACCTCGATAACACTAAACACTTCATTTTTTCACTTTCTAACATGAAACAGTTAAATTTTAGGCATTTTAAGGTGACTCGAACCAGTTTTTTGGGGGGCGTACCATCCTACTTTGAAGCTCTCTGGTATCCCCACCTTTACTTTTATCGTAAGTCTAACACATAGAATGGATAACATATAGATCAATCTACAATATAACATAAAATTTTTGGCGATCGGAGTAAATGTCACGTGGTTATAATGCCACGCCCCTTTGAGGTCTGAGTCGAAAATCTGCTGTTGCCGGCATTTTTTCGTGAAAATCTCTCGGCTACACATAGTGCGCATTAGTGCCTTGCGCTGAAGAGAGTTTCACCAAAATCGCAAAGACCCAATTCGAGAAATTCAGCGGTTTCCAAATTTAGGTCATAATTTATGCGAAAATGATAAGCAAACTTTACACGGATTATATCTAATAAACTATGAGATTCATCCCTTTATTTTGGGCATCGTTATAACAGATGGGGCCTTGCAAGTCAGCAAAACGCTTTAGGGCCTTGTAAATGCGCGCGATTTCGAGCAAAGCAAACATATAGAAATTATAGTTTTCGCTGTTTGTTGACGTTTGTCAGCGTTTAAGAGTCCTTCTCACGAAAAAAGCATTTTCTTAAAAATTCGATATTCCCGTCACGAGTTGGTTTAATTATTGGCTTGCATTAAACCTATGAAAAAATGATATTTTTGTAATAGTAAGTAGATTTAGTGTGTAGCACTTCTTGATTTTTTTGCAAAGGCACAAGAATTGATTAAAAATTGTTAGTTAAACCTCTATGTATCACGCGATGGCCTATCTCACTGTACCAAAATTATTATATCGCGGTGAGCATTCGGAAGTCAGCCAAGCGCGGTCATTGCACGCGTGCTGAACAAGAATGCTGTATAATGACAGACTAGAAACAATAGGCAACTCCCAAAGCACAAACTCAGCCAAAACGCTAAAAATCTGCAATGTTTACTCAAGTTTGGGCTTATAGAAGATAATGTCACAGTTTTTCAATGACCATGAAATTCAGAGTCCGGGTAGTTAGTTAATCAATTGTGGCCCTGAAAAAATTTGAAGGAAAAAAAACTACGAATTTTTAAGAAAATGCTTTTTTCGTGAGAAGGACTCTTAAACGCTGACAAACGTCAACAAATAGCGAAAACTATAATTTCTATATGTTTGCTTTGCTCGAAATCGCGCGCATTTACAAGGCCCTAAAGCGTTTTGCTGACTTGCAAGGCCCCATCTGTTATAACGATGCCCAAAATAAAGGGATGAATCTCATAGTTTATTAGATATAATCCGTGTAAAGTTTGCTTATCATTTTCGCATAAATTATGACCTAAATTTGGAAACCGCTGAATTTCTCGAATTGGGTCTTTGCGATTTTGGTGAAACTCTCTTCAGCGCAAGGCACTAATGCGCACTATGTGTAGCCGAGAGATTTTCACGAAAAAATGCCGGCAACAGCAGATTTTCGACTCAGACCTCAAAGGGGCGTGGCATTATAACCACGTGACATTTACTCCGATCGCCAAAAATTTTATGTTATATTGTAGATTGATCTATATGTTACCCATTCTATGTGTTAGACTTACGATAAAAGTAAAGGTGGGGATACCAGAGAGCTTCAAAGTAGGATGGTACCCCCTCAAAAAAACTGGGTCGAGTCACCTTAACACTAACAGTAAAAAATTCTTTGAAACAGTAATTTTTTTCCAGAAAGAAGCAAAAACGGCTCCAAAAAGGCCAATATCATTTTGTTTAGTATATCAAGGAGTTTTTGGCCATTTTACGACAATTCCGGATTATTTCACAAAAATCCTGAGGGCTACCGAAGATCCCCAAAGACTGCCGAAGAAGTCCGACCATTGCCTAAGATTGCAATTAATTTAATCCTTTATTATTGCCTAAGATGTCGGAAGAACCCTCTAAACACTTAACAATATTTTCTTAGGAAACAGTAAACATAAAAAAATTGACCAATTTAACAGCAAACACTAAAGATTATGGCCAAATAACGCGAAACACTAAACCCCATTCGTGCGGCCCGGCTATGCTTTTCCGGTCACGTGGTTCGTTTCGGATAAATCACCGAAATGTATTGACCGAGGAGGCCTGGGTAAACGCCGTACCTGGACTTAGCAAGTTGTTACACCGAACCAAGATAACCAAGATAGCTAGCATTTTATTGCATTTTATAACTTTGTATCAAGAAGCGAAATTGTTTCCCTACCTGTGCACCGACCGGATGCCGGCAACCCGAACCGTTTCCTATCAGCTATCTTATGAACAAAAATTATGCCGCAAAGATGACACAATTGAAGAACAAAGACAGGTTTTTGGCAAAACAACCGTTTTGGGTTGATTTTCCATATTTTGGGAGGTCTCCGAACCACAGACTGCGATGACATAAGTCACTGTTTGTTGCAAGAAATGATGGAGAGGAAGCCGGACGCCATGCGAAGCCAAAGTATTTTCAGTTAGTTTTATCAGGAAGTTATGGGCTCCCGGTTTGATCAGCGTTCATAAAGCCAACACGAGAAAATCACTGCGAAACTACTCCATTAGAAGGTAGGTAAGTCATCTTGAAAAGAACTAATACATTTGTTAAACTTAATGTAGTAAAAATCTTCCCATTTTTAATCCCTACCTACCTGAATTTTCTGACCCCCAAAATGCCCAACTGTGCGACCCCATTCTAGTAACGCTATTGAAAATGCTACTCCATTATATTCAATCCAGTCGTGAAAATGCCACCCCATCCAGCGGCACATTACTCCAGGAAGTACGCACCGGGGCTTTATACTATTACATCAAGAGGGGAAAACAACTCTCTTGATTACAGACATAATAAAAAATTGTTTTGATCGTGGAGACAAACCCAGCTAGTTGTTTTCTTATACGCCTAGATTAATGGATAATTGTCAGGTTGAAAGTTATGACTTTGATTTTACAATACATTGTTTGTGTATGGTGGGCTACCCGCGGAAACAACTTTTGAACTTGTGGCTGGATATAAACCCGTTACGAAACTTTGAGTGCGTTCAATTCTATTAAGTCGGACAGACAGGAAACTCTGCAAAAACATTGCATGACAAATACTAGTTATGAGAAAAGATTCTAAACTTTCCTTCCCTGTCAGAACTTGTCCCTAAAAAGTTTAAAAGCTTTCAAAAACCATAATATGATTATTTCGTTCTAGACTGAAGAGCCCGTTTTTTAACTAGATTTAAACATACATCACATTGGTCAAGGATAATCTTGACATGGATACCGTTGTATAAAATACGTTACCAGACTTCAAAGGGACATTTCGAGAGAAAAGATCCTCGTCATCGGCCTGTTAGACATTTCACGCGTGATTGGTTCTATATACTGGCTGGAAACTGGGAGTTTAGCCCAAGTCCATTTCTGCTTATATTTTTTGCTACAAGCTTAGGTTGCATCGGTAATTCTGAAAATTTCAGAGGATGTCAGAAGGTTGACAAGAACTTTAAGGACATACAGGAGAACCCCGTAACTCAAACTCTGAAGGGAAACGTAAAACAGCTCGAGTAATCGGGGTAAATTTCAGTGAAATTTTGATCAAGCACTGAGGGGCACCCAACGAGAATATAGTTCAAAACGACTTAAACATAGCATTGTTACACATATTTTAGTATTTGGTAGATATGGGCATATTTTCGTCCCCTAAAAATTTTTCATCTGTTCGGATTTCCTAGCTGAAAGTCTAGTGATCCGAAAATTATAGGGATCAAAACTTACCTTTGGGAAAATTTCAGCCAGAAAAAAGGCTCCCGAGAATTCTGGTGAGTTTTTCAGGGTAAAAATCCGTTTAACATGAGCTATTGTACTATTTTTTAGATGTTCGAAGGAGAGGTAGGCAAGCAAGAAATTTACATCAAATGTTCCGAAAATTCTAGATTTCAAATCGTTTTCCGAACAGATATTTTCCAAAAATTGACTTTGGGTGTCCCTGATCAAGGGAAAGGAAATTTAGTTCGAGTTAGCAGGAAATTCGAGTCATCCGAGTTCGAGTAATCGAGGTTCTATTAAATGGAATTTGACCCAAACTATTCCCACAGTCCCTCTCAAGGAAAGAAGAAAGAGAACTCAGAGGGAACGAGGATGATTCTGATCAATCATAGCTCGCGCATTGTTTAAGTCTCGATGATTTTATCGACCCCAATTTTTACTCAGATATTTTATACTGATGAAGCTTACTACCTACATAATACTTCAACTTTGTCTTCCACGGATGTCGAGAAAAGGGAACAAGCCAATTTTATTAGCTCAACGATCACGTGTATCATCACGTTCGCTGGAAGATTTTCTCTGGTCCCCCGTTTTACTCAGCGCGCGTGATAAACCACGTGGTCAAGACTCAAGAGATTCCTGCCTCGTCCCCAGTCGTTCGCCATCACTTTTTGGGGGATATTTGAGGTATTGATTGCCCCTGCAGGGATTTCGCCAAGAAAGCGAAATCCAGAGGAGGCACTCTAGTAGCTCGCGTATATAAAGGAAAGTATTTATAGCTGAAATATACAGTCAGTATGGCAGAAAAAATCTCGATTTGCTTGAACAGGGGCCTTGAGGAATCGTTTGGTAATGATGACGTTTGTATTGTTCGCGCCCGCAAGTAAGAGTTTGTTATGATAACAGAAAAAAAAAACAAACATAAAATCCTGTAGGGACCGCTTGGGTAGATTTTGTGGATCCTGCACCTATTTGAAAGATTGTTTTTGATTAGCTGGGAAAACAATAGGGATAGTCACATAACAATGCCCCTATCCCTGAAAACAATGGAAGTGCAGATTAAAGGGGACCAGTGAAATAAGAGGTTTAGAACGGTGCAGGTCTACTGGATTTTGTGACATTCATTGTACCACATACTTCAATACTCTTTTGCGTTAGGTGTTATCAGTGACATTCTGTGGAGCAGCGTTTTTGAAAGTTATGGACCAACAGACATATATAAAGACTTGGAGAGTTTGCCAGACACGAGTTGACAAATCTTTGATTAGAAACAATCTGCCAGACACTCTCTTTCTCTCTCTCGATCTCTTTGGGGGAATAATACTCAACCCACAAACAAGCAAGACGAGTGAATCAACGGCTAGCTTATCAGTAGCAGAACGATGGACGATTACAGAAATCTGTTCTGACTTATCCCCTGCTGCTGACAGATGTCCTTCTATAAAGACTAGAACGCGCGAGCGTGAATTGATCAAACCTTACTTTCAGGCAAATAAAATGAACTGTATGTAAAAAATGAAAGAGAAAAAGCGAAAAACTCCAGCTTCTAATTAAATCTTTTCTTATGGTTTAGAATAAAATATTCTCGAAATTGAGAATGTTTTGATGAAAGCTGTGTAAATCGAACTCAATCAGTGCATAGAGGCTTGCGTTTCCTGTTTTTATCTCACCCATTGTATGGAATAAGAGCGAAAATCTCAATTATGAATCGGTATATTTTAAAGAGCCATACAACGACCAAAAATACTATTAACAATACCTGTTAATTGCACTGAAGCACCCGTACATGTGTGATATGGTTGTGCGCATGCGTAAGGTACTGGTAAGGTACTGGCTATACCGTGGAGTTCGTACGTGTGCTTCAGTGCAGTTAATTGGTATGGTTTCAAGAATACTATTGCCCGACAATACTGAACCGATCGAGAGCGGGGCAACTATTACTAGTTAAGGAAAGCGGTAGCGAAAGGAGTAAAAGGAGTCTTTTAGACTCTTTTACCAGTGCTGCATCGAAACTGTGGAATGAGTTACGATTTGATATAAGAAGCGCCAGCACAGTTAGTATTTTTAAAGCCAAGCTAAAAACTCACCTTTTCCGTCATGCATTTTTATCATAGTTGTTTTTATTATTGTGAGTTTACTTTTAATTGTAATTTTAGCTTTTTAAATCATTGTTGTAAGTTTGCTCTTAACTGTAATTTTAATCTTGTCATGCGCATTTGAACATTTTATGGAATTTGGGCATTATAAATGTTTTATTATTATTATTATTATTCCTTCCCATCACCCCCTGCTCGCGCTCTACATTCGTTCCCATTATCCCCCTCTTCTCGCTTGTCTGCGGTTCTCGCGCTTCTCGCTTGTGCCGTACTCTCCACTAAAGATCCTGTGGTTGTTGAAAAAATGTCTTGAAAAGGTTTGCGTTGAGAACAGCGCAGCTTGGGTAGTGTATTATCAAGAACCTCTTATGGCTCTTAATATTATATAATCATCTTGGTAATGCGTGCAATTGCTTTTTATTATGTAATCACCCATTATTTTATCATCTTAGGGATATCTTCTTGAAAAGCACTTACTGTCAAACTCAGAAAACCATGAACACCTGTAAAATTTCAGGAATGTTGATTGTGTACTGGCCAATCACAATAAAGTTCAGGATACGCAACCAAACCTCAAAACCACCTATTAGTTACCGTTGCTGTTTGCGGTTTAGTTATCTCGCACCTTATTGGCTTATTTCTCGCAACACGATAACATCCCACAAATATTTCTGGTGTTCACGGTTTTGTGAGTGTCACAGTAATCAATCTACAGAAACGTTACGAAAATGTCTTATAAGACACTATTCCTATATATTTTGACTAATAAATCTCTGCGATGAAAACATCATCAATCTAGTGTGTCTTATAATAAAAACATTCTAAACTGTAATAAATGCGAGTACTACACCGACTGTGCTGGTCAGTATCATTTACATACGCTTTGTTTCCTCCTCTTCTATTTTATCTTTTCTGCGTTACTGTTTTTGTGCTGAAATCTTAGTGTTGAAGAAAAAGTAAAAAAACTACTTGGGTTTAAATTAAAGGGTTGATTAATTTGTCAATCAAGATAGTTCCATCACGAATAGTTTCATTTAAAGTGACAATGAGTCTGGAACAGGAGTACAAGACTTTGCCAAACTCTGGGTGCGAAGGACAGATGTTTAGCGACATCCACATTCCTCAACAATCGCTCCTTGGTAGGTTTTCAGCTCAATGTGACCCTGCGAATCCTCTTCGAACATGCTTACACCGCGCAGTTTTATCGGTACGCAGCACGGCTCTCCGGCACCTTGATCCAGTCCAGATGAGTGTAAGATTGTTCGCAAAATGGCGTGTTCGCTTGGATTTACCTAGAAAATAGTTGAATGCTCTCTCTTAAAGCTTCTTAAGCATAAAAAAAATGTGACAGTCCTATTTTTAATAAGATCTTTTAATATCGTTTCAAAACAGAGAAGCGTTAACAAACTTGCAGGTTTCCCCGTCCAAGCACATGGATCGGTGACTAGTACACGACCCCACAAACATGCCATGCTTAGATACTACTGAAGAGATTAAGCATCGGGTTTACGGCAAACGGCAAATGTGAGATTTTCAAAATGAGAAATGAACAGATAAAAACAGCTTAAGACAATTGTATGGATAGAATTGGCGTGAATCTACCGATTTTCGTGTAGTTATAATGAACAGTAAACGATAAGTAAATTGAAAATTTGGTCACGTGGTACAAATAATCTTTCTACTGATCATGTATACATATCCCTAACTATAAAAGCGTTCAAAAGGGGTACTTTACCATGGGGAAAATTGTAATAGAGGGCCAAAGAATGAACCTCCAATACTCGAGCCCGCGTTGTTATTGGTCAATTTTCCCCATGGTTTTGACTGCTTTCTTAAGGTGGCTCGACTGGATTTTTTTGGGGGGATACCTCCCAAGTTTGAGCATTAACTACGTCGCCATGAATAAAGATATGGGAAAAAGATTACCACAACTGTATTATATAAAGATGAAAATTTCTTATGATCTGGGTTTTATTGCAATCGGAGTCGCCATAGCAACGTAACGACGCCATTACGTTTTTTATTTATCTTTGTGTTTCTCTGTACCAAGAGTTTTTTTAAGAAATCGCTTAAGGGAGTTTGTACCTGCCATAATTGCCTCAATTACGGCAAATTTTGAACAAATTCTATGAGAGCGTTTTTGATATATTTTTAAACGAAGTTTTAAGCATCATAAAAACAGTGAAATAGCATGCTATCCACACAATTAGCTAAATTTTTAAGACAATGATAAGCTTGGGAAACGCGGCTTCATCTCATTGTGGTTTGACTCCATTGAAAACTGCGTACAAAAATAGAGGAGAATTACTCCGGGCGATCGCGAGTAAGAAGAATTTTAGTAACTTGCAATCAGCTGCTTTTGTTACAGTTTTTGCACGTAATTTGGTCCATGCCTACAAATTTCGCCTTTTTCATAAAACCGCTCCATAAATTTTCTTATAAATTTGACAATCTCGAGATCAATCGTCTATAAATATACCCTGCAAGTTTTAGGAACATTGAAAACAGAGAAGGCTTTTAAATAGGGCCGCAACTATAACCAATTTTTCCACCAGATTTTGTGTTTACAAGTGAGCGTCCTCATTATTCACTGGCATTGTTTCCAAGTTTCATATGCACTTGCACATTTATCAAAAAGATAGAATTTGCATCAAAAAGGACCCTCGGTTAAATCTCCCGAGTATGCTAATAATCGGGTAAAGAAAACAGTGATATAATGTAACATCACAGCAACTCTTTGTAAGAGTTTGTGATGTTATAACCCGAGTAAGATAACTAAGTATTGGATCCTACACGATGAGCCGTGACGTTCACCGTCTCGGCTCTCAGTGCTATCTGTGACTCAAGCTAATTATTAGCATATTCTGGATATTTCTTCCGAACGTAATCGAGAGTTCTTTTTGATGCAAATTTATTTCTTTTTGCTAAATGTGCACGTGTATATGAAACTTGGAAACAATGCCAGTGAATAATGAGGACGCTCACTTGAAAACATCAAACCTGGGGGAAAATTGGTCATATTTGAGGCCCTATTTAAAAGCCTTCTCTGCTTTCAATGTTCTTGAAACTTGCAGGGTATATTTACTGGCAATTGATCTCGGGATTGTCAAATTTATATTAAAATTTATCGAGCGGTTATTTGAAAAATGCGAAAATTGTAGGCATAGACAAAATTACGTGCAAAAACTGTAACAAAAGCAGCTGAATGCAAGTTAATAAAATTCTTCTTGCTCGCGATCGCCCAGAGCAATTGCCCTCATTTCTTGTACGCAGTTGTCAATGGAATCAAACCATTATAAGATGAAGCCGCGTTTCCAAAGCTCATCATTTTCTTAAAAATTTAGCTAATTGTGTGGATAGCTTGCTATTTCATTGTTTTCATGATGCTTAAAACTTCGTTTCAAAATATTTCGAAAACGCTCTCATAGAATTTGTTCAAACTTTGACATAATTGAGGTAATTATGGCAGTTACAAACTCCCTTAAGCGATTTCTTTAAAAAAACTCCCGGTACAGAGAAACACAAAGATAAATAAAAAAACGTAATGGCGTCGTTACGTTCCCATGGTGACTCCGATTGCAATAAAACCCAGATCATAAGAAATTTTCATCTTTATATAATACAGTTGTGGTAATCTTCTTCCCATATCTTTACTCACGGCGACGTAGTTTATGCTCAAACTTGGGAGGTATCCTCCCAAAAAAATCCAGTCGAGCCACCTTAAGTGGAGCCCTGGGGACCGAGTACTCAACCACATTCTCCTTTATCATTGAGATACATAAAAGTCGTTCACCCACAAGAGATGCTGTAACTCAAGCTAAGGAGACGGAGGAGGTACTTCTAAGACTTGCATGCCGAAGGTACAAAAGGAAGCACGCACGAGCGTTTCACTCACACTACCTACTGCAAGGAGAGAGTAGCTTTGTTTCGCTCTAAACCAGTGTGTTCAAGAAAGGACAATTTGTAATATTTTGCTGAAAGCAAAAATTACTTACACTTGTATCCAACGGGAATTTGCATTCACCTCCACACCGGAATGACTCGAAGACGCGGGGAACGAGGACATCGTTCCAACCAAGATGTCGCCTGACATCTACTGTCATGGGACGAACAGAACATGGACCCTCGTCACGAATGGCTTCTAGATGGCGTCTGGACCTTCCAGTAAGTTCGAACATTTGTTTTGACCTTGAAAAAAGTATTATAAAACCGTTTAGTCAAACCAGGTCAAGAGTTCCCGTCGCTGGCAAACTAATGAATTGATTAATGGAAAAATGATTTCGTTTGTTGATTGAATAATCCATTCATAAAATGAATAATCCAACAGTCAAATTGGACCTTGATTCAATAATTAATGTTGATTTGGTTTATGAACAAAATTGACCTGTTCTTTATTCTTGTCTGTTGTGTTCAATCGTATTTGCTTCCCTTTTCCTGCCGTTTACGATTGCGTTTTTCATTTCCTTTCATCAAAATAACAGCTAGAATAAACCGACCGCAAACGCAAAGAAACTAACAAAGGCCGGGAATCGAAATCCACCAATCACCGCACATACATTGACCTCAGTTTGACTATCGTGTTTTCTAAGAGGTCAGGTCCGTTGCAGTGATTACTGGAAGCAAAATGGCGTACATGTAACAGTTTGTTTGGGTTTGAACTTCAGAACTCGCTCTGAGGTCGACTTGTGGAAAGTGTAGTTTTTCAAAAAACAGTAATCAAATCAACATTCGATTATGGAATCGAGGCTAGCTGAGGCTAAATATGAATATTGGATTGTTCATTTTATGAATGGGTTATTGAATCAACAAACGAAATCATTTTTCCGTCAATGAATTCATTAGTTCGTTGGCGACAGGAATGCTTGACCTGGTTTGACTGTAAAAAACGCCTGTTAGAGAATTTTACTATGACTGAAATTTAATCATCGAAGACTTACAGTCAAACCAGGTCAAGCAACCCACTAGATTTTATTAAATGAATTATTTAAATATTGAAAGTATATTAAAGTACATTATTATTCATTTAGAATATTTTCCCAATTCTGATTGGCTAAAAGCACACGCATAATTCATCATAACCAGTTACTGATGACCAAATTTGGAAGAATTTTGTGTTTAACGAGGAAATGACATCAAAAATGCAGCCTTCTACAGCTTAAGTCACCGTTAGCCGAGAAGACCTGGGAACGAGATTGAGTTGTTTTCCTTGTAAAAACTAAAGTGGCAGGCACTTCACTCGTTTCAAGGGTAAGAACTACAGCTGGAACTACAGTCTGTAGGCAAAATTATGGCTGAAAACAGCAAAAACAGCAAGAAGACAACTCGCAGGGCGACGTCTGCTATTTGGAGAATATTTGCGGAGGTGGACAAACCTAAACGTAAAATTAAACTATATGTTTTCAAACCAGGAATTATTTTGAATGAATAATAAAACAATTATTGAATTCGGCCTTTGTATCATATGAAGAATTATGGAGATCTCGGAGGGTGTGATGTAACACCCTCCTCGATCTCCATAATTCTTCATAAGATACTCAGCCTCATTCATTAATTGTTAATTCATCAAAACAAACAAATCTGACTGTTCATCGCATAAGTTTGTGCTTGGTCCAAGTCTCGTGCTTCCAGGCTGTCTCGCTATAAAAACGGAAACTTACTATATTGATGGAAAGAAATATTCTTTGACTTTTTTGGCATATATGGATTAACTTGTATCGAGCTCGCACGGAAGCGGCAGGTTTGTAAAGCACGTAGAGTTGTTTGATGTGTTCAGCTATTGTACATTCAAACTTTCAATTAAAAGGATTGACAAATCGATTATAATATTCTGTATTTTAAGTTTGTTTTGGGATTATCCTCAACGAGGTACACAAGGGTATAGGTTTGGGTTTTCTGTGGTTACTTCTTTGCTTGTTGTTGAATCAATGACAAGGCAATGAAATATTGACATATCCTTTACTTATTTACTTCTTTTTCAGAGAAGATGAAGTTGATCCCAAATCAAACGATAAGTGCAGCAACACTTTTCGAAGTTTTCTGATGATTAATTCACTAAAAGAAGATGCCGGTAGTTTGTCTTCGAAGCACCCGTATCAGAGTGACAATAATATGAACAAAGATCTTACTCACGGGAAGATCTGGGTTTTTTACTCCTTTGTAGTAATTTAGCATGTACAATAAACACTTCAGCAACCACAACAAATTTAAAATCCTGGCATAATAATATTATTCCAACCATTATGTCCTCTTAGTTTTCATATAGGGTGTTATTTCAAAGATTTTTCCCTCAAAATATTAGTTTACTACCTAAGATTGTGACTGAAGCTCATGCTAATTTGAAGAAAAAGAAAACTAGCTGCAACACTACTTTGACGCATTTCCAGTCATGGTCAAGTACACCCCTTTGGAACGTTCGAGTCTAATTTCCAGTCTGAATTGCTAGCCGGTAGTATTTTTTTCCATTTATTCATCATCAATTCATCGTCAAAGTTCATATGGGTTGTGGTGCATTACTGCATAGTGCACATTTTCCCCCGGCGCTCTATCATTTTATGAACTAAAAGAAGGCCGAGTTCACGCACTCATGCGTCATGTTATTTATGTAGTGAGAATTGTCGTTGTGGATATACGTCTAAATGTCTTGAAAGTAATTTTATTCATTCAAAAGTCTAACAGGCGTATAGTGTGACCAAGTTCTTGTGATTTACCGTTCGATCATTATGCATGCACGAATATGTTGTGGTCGGTCGATTTTATCCCTGGCTTCTTCCTTTTGGGGTTTGGTAATGTGTGGATATAAGTTTGGAACAAAGAAAAGCAAGAGTCATATGGCTCTTGAGGAAAGTCAAAATTAAACCAGGGATAAAATTAAAATAAAAACCTTGTCCCCTGGGTCGCCTTGTTTTTCTAATGTGGCGGCGGCAGAAAAAAAGAGGGTCTCCTCTCATCAAATTCCATCGTCCCATCGTCAGAACCACGTTGAACACCTTATGATGTTTACACAAAATAATTCCTTATATGGGGGAAAACGCACTGACTATAGTGACTACGGTTAAGTACTGGAAAAAGTGGTCAAAGTGGTTAGCTTTCATTAACTGTCAACTTTGTCACTTTATATATGTAAATCAAAATCAAACTCATGTAATTGAGAGGGAAGTATTTCCTTTCTGGACGACAGAATCGAAAGCTGAAACATTTTCTGCCGCTGTCACATTTGCCAACGAGAAGACCCTGAGAATGAGAACACGTTTTCCTACCCTTGCTTTGCCCATTCCTGTGACTGTTGGGACTATAGAATATATAAAAGAAAAACATTATGCAGATCTGAACACTAATTCGTCATTGAGATTATAATCCGCCGTGCAAGTAAAGGCCCTTCCATCTTCCTACTTAAGTCTTATCGACTTATACAGGAAGTTGGACGGTCTTTAGGTTTAACGGACAGAGGATAAAGGGGGCATCACTTATATCCTTTGTGGCATACATTGTAAACAGCTAAGAGAGCTATGGAATACTTTACCTCAACAACGCTCTTTTTTTTTCAACGTTGAAGCCGTTTACGTTGAAGGAGACAACATTTCTCAGTGGTGCAACTGTCAAGGAGAGAAAAAGAGTCTGGTTGAGTACGTTTTCGTGTGGCGTCTCTCTCCAAAAAACACCCCGGATTAACGAAAAAAATTTTTGGCCCCCGTTATATCAAACTTTATGGAATAGAGCCGCGATAAAATGTACCTCCGTTAAAAAAAGCGATTTTTCGAGTGTACAGAAACGCCTTAAATGGTACGCGCTGGAGTTTCATAGTTATCGAGTACCCAGCCAATCCGGGACTAGTGTCCATTTCTGGATATTGGTATCGTGCGTTGAGATTGGCAGCTATAGCCTTATGTCATTGTCAATGCCAATAGAGCTGCCTCCTATTACATTCATGTTGGTTTTGTAACTTCAATGACCAACATCTCTCATACTTGATCATTCAGAGGGTCCTTGATGTAGAAAATACTGCATTGTTCATCTTTTAACTACTTCACCATACCATATCTATAAGGCATGATCACCGGGCGTGGATGCAAAAATGCTTGAGTGTAATAATGTTTATATCACTGCTGCTTGTGTTTTATTTCAGATTAAGCTACGAAGTCTTTATGAACAGGCACCCCTCCACCCCCCCGCCACCCTTCTCCCTTGGGAAGTCTTCACATTTGACCTGAAAATTTCTCTGTTTTGTCACTAAAGTTGAAATGGGTGTAGACATAAGAGTGGATGGTTGTGAGTGGCCGATTTGTTAAATGTATTTTGTATTAGTTTGTCAGACATCGCCAAACAAAAGCACACTTCATGTTCATGTTTTCGAACATATCAGACATCAAGGCGCCTTGACTTCCTCTGCTCATTTGATGTACTCTGAAGTTCGTGGATATTTCTTCGAAATTTCCTTAACATCATTAAATTGCCACTGCTGTTCATTGTGATTTGTTATACCAGTATATTGCCCCGGTGTATTGCGTATTGTTGGGGACATGATGTTTTTCGTCGTTAGTGCGTATACAAATCAAGAGAGCGTTCTGTAAGATCTAGCTGTCCAAAGTGGTGAAATTGTTGTTTTCCTGCTTAAATGTGTTTACCGATGTCGGCGACATGATCCGCTTCCTTTCCGGCAGCTATCTCATGAACGAGCATTTAGTGATTATACCGCAGAGATCATGCGATTAGGAAAACAAAAAAAAAGTAGATTTTCGATAGACAAAACATTACTTGCTTTCATCTCAGAATATTTGCACGTTCTCGGAGTCTTTACGAGGCGTGGGGTCTACATTATTTTATTTGCTATACGGCATGTATATATTTATTCTGCAGATATTTACGGACCTCGTGTAACTTGAGTAACAGTTAACTAATTTATAACTTCAACTTCTTTGAATGAAGCTGATTTGTTTTGCCCTTTTAAGCCGATGGATGGAATCCCATTGCTTTTGATTCCCAGGTCTGTGATGGCGTTGCAATTTTGCCAGATCTAGCACAGGTGGCCCAAGCTCGAAATATGAGCATCGGCGAGAAATGAAAGGATTTCAATAAAAAAACAGCTTACCTTCCATAAAATGTGTGTTACGTCTCTCCTGTGTGGTCCATGGGCCAATTTATGGCCGTTTTATGGGTTTGTACTGTAAACGGTTTTCTCTCT